CACTCACTCTTCCTCTTCCACTGCTGTTTTTTCTGTTGCTGCTTCTGCAGGTGCAGAGGAAGGACTTGCTGACACCTGTGAGAAAGAGAACAGTGCGTATGTCCAGAGACGCCAGTGCAGGAAAAGTCCTATCTGGGAAGGGGGTGCCCAGAGCAGACCCAGATGTCACTGGGAGTCCGTCCAGCACGGTGGGGTCCAGCTCATCCGACCCCAGCCCAGCCCCCTCCCTGGACCCTGAAGGGTTATTCAGCAAGATTCAAAGCTGCAGCTTGGGGGCCAGTAAACAGGGCAATGCCAAGGTAGTGGACAGGAGGGCTGGGCAGGGGTTTTATTGACACTGGAGACCCGAGGTAAACAGGGCAATGCCAAGGCAGCGGGCAGGAGGGCTGGAGAGGGGTTTTATCAACACTGAAGATCCGAAGTAAACAGGGCAATGCCAAGGCAGCAGGCAGGAGGGCTGGGGAGGGATTGTGTTGACACTGAAGACCCGAGGACCTTGACTGTGGGATGAGACCAGGTCCTTCAGGAGAACAATCACAAGAGAGGGAAAGAGGAAAAGGACCAAAGCTACAAAAGGAGCTCATGAGTCAGAAAGAGGATAAAAGAGAGAGCATATGAGAGGAGATCAGTTACCTGCTGGCGGCTGCCTGTCATGGTGGAGTCTTCCAGTTCTGGGAAGCAAGCATCAGAGTGTCCGGAGGAGCAGCGGTGATGGGGCGGCCATAAGAAGGAAAGGGGAGAGTTAGAGCTGAGAGAACCCCTCAGACTCCGCTGTCCTGGGGCTGTGGAGCCAGCCCCAGAGCCTCTGATGTGCCCATTTCTGGAGACTTCTCCTCAGCCTGTATCATTTCCTCTGTGCTATGAGGGAGGGACCTCTGACTTCCCACACACTTTCCCAGCCCTCACATTCCATAACTGAGCCAAGGGAGGGGAAGCCGTGTCATTCTGTTCCTCCAAGAGGCGGCCGCCCTCTTCACAACGTCGTGCATGACGTGGAATCCCTCCCTCCTCCTCCTGTAGGGCCTGCTTCTGTTCCCTCATGAATCCCATTTCCTTCCTCCTTGTGGACCTCCACCAGTCCTACTGTTCTCCAATAGAACATCGGAAAGAAGGCCAAGGCTGCACTGCCAACCTCCAGTCAACACACAGATCACACCCTGGGTCGGCAGCACCTGCCCAGGCCTGGGGTTGTGTTGGGGCCTGTGGGAGGCGATCATGACCGATGTCCACAGGCCTGGGGTTGTGTTGGGGCCTGTGGGAGGCAATGATGGCCAATGTCACAGATACAGTCAGGCCTGGGGTTGTGTTGGGGCCCGTGGGAGGCGATCATGACCGATGTCCAGAGGCCTGGGGTTGTGTTGGGGGCTGTGGGAGGTGATGATGACCGATATCACAGATACAGTGACTGTTCTACGCCTAGAATGACCTTAGAGGCTTGGAAAATATTCAGCCCTCAAAAGAATCCCACCAGCTTCTGAATATTTGGAAACAATGGAACAGAATTCAAGGTAAAGCCCCTTGTCCCGGTTGCTTTAATCTGCAGGTGAGGTCAGCAGTTGTCAGCACAGAAATGAGGGGGCCTCCCAGGGTTTGCCTGAGCTGTGGGAAGACTAGGTGGGAGGGCACCTGGCAGGCCTGACACAGAGAACAAGCTGGGCCTTACTGGAGTGTGGGGAGCAGGACAAGACTGTTGGGCCAGAGAGGAGGGTGTCACAAGACAAGTGACCCCTGTGGTGGCTGCCCAGAGGCTCTGCCCTGGGCCCAGTGGATTCCAGGGACCAGGCTACAGGGAGGGCGAGAGCCACTGCCTACAGCAACACGGCAGCCCCTCCACACATATCCCCGAGGATTCCTGCCAGCCACAGAGGGCCTTGAGCCACAGCTGGACTCGGGCCTCTCCAATGAAAGCCAATGTAGGTTTCTTTTTTTTTTTTTTTTTTGAGACGGAGTCTCATGCTGTTGCCCAGGCTGGAGTGCAGTGGCGCGATCTCGGCTCACTGCAAGCTCCGCCTCCTGGGTTCACGCCATTCTCCTGCCTCAGCCTCCTGAGTAGCTAGGACTACAGGCGCCCGCCACCGCGCCCGGCTAATTTTTTGTATTTTTAGTAGAGACGGGGTTTCACTGTGGTCTCGATCTCCTGACCTTGTGATCCGCCCGCCTCGGCCTCCCAAAGTGCTGGGATTACAGGCTTGAGCCACCGCGCCCGGCCGCCAATGTAGGTTTCATTCAAAGCCCACGGATTTGGGATTGGATGGGATTGGGTGAGGAGTGGAGGCCAAAACTGTGCTCAGTCAAGTGTCCCGCCCTGAGGACTCCAGGATGCCGGCCACACGCAGGAATCCCAGAGGAAGGACTCCCTGTGTCATCCCACCCAGGGAGCACCCTTAGAGCAGCAGCAGACGCTGAGGACAGGACGGGAAGGTGCCGTTGCAGGTCCTGAGAGTGTAGAGAAAGAGGGCGGGCTCCTTTCAGCTCCTGGCACACGTATGAAGGACTTTGTCATCAGGATCACGTAGCACCTGTGAGGGGCTGTGTCCCCCCTGACACTCAACGTTACACCTGCACACTCATCCTGTCATCTCCATTCACAACAAAACGCTGCCTCATCAAACCCAGGGCTCTGGTGCTTGCTGTGGCAAAGGCAGGAATGATCTGGTCTTTGCAAAATGTAATCTTTAAACACCAGAGCAGGAAAGGATGGTGACAAACACAACTCGCACATAGCGCATGAGGACAAAACTCTTACGACTTTCTCATGAAGATACAAAAAATCCCAAGTCAGACTTCTACACCTATTTCCTTTCATATTTAGTCACTTCACTGATCCCACCCCAGGCTCCAAAACGAGTGTCACCCAATCCCCAAGAACCCTCCTCACTGGTCAACCCTGGAGTGTCGGTCCCTACCTGACCAGTCTATTTCCCCCTGGATGGATCCAGAGGTGGTGCCCATGAGCCCAAGTACAGAGTCACAAACGTCGGCACTACTGCTCAGTCCACGGTGATTCTCCCTGGGCTCTGTGAACTCAGGGGCCGTTAGGAAGGCCCTGCTCACAGTTGTGAGCCTTCAGGTGAGACAGAGAACCCGAACAATCCCTTTCAACTGTTCACCGACACTGGCTCAGAGCATCTCTTACCTCCAATCTGAGAACCCGAGATTCCAGCCTTGATGCACATGCACTGAGTCAGGTGAGTGCAGTGAACAGAATCTGGGCCAGACTCACAGCAGCTGCTTCCCAGGTGATTCAGGGAGAATGGAGATGCTCTCTTAAGAGTAGACATTTGGCAACTGGGAACTTATAGTATGGCTCTTGTGAGGAGGTTATGAATTTTTCATTTATTTAAACATGAATGGGCACATATGCCACGGAGGACCACACTGGAATGCACAGGTCTAAACCCAAAGGTGAGGGAGATGTGACTCTCCCCCCTGCTGATTCCTGGCAGAGTGGTTTGCTCTGATCTGATCATTCATGGATGGGTACTTCAGGGGCACAGGAACAAGCTCCAGGTCCCCTGTGAAGTGCAGGGATGCCACAAGAAGAATAAAAATGCCTGGTCCAGCAGAGGAGGACTTGTAAACAGAAAGAAAGCATCTTCTGCAGGAGAAAAGCTGAACCAAGGCAGCCAGAGTAGAGATGAGGGGACAGTTCAGTGACTTCAGAAGCCCCCCTATTCTCCTGTGACCTTGGATCAGAACCCACTCAGGTTTCTAGACTACCATGAGAAACAATAGATTGAAGAAGATGAGCAGGAAGCCTTTTCACACTGGTGCTGGATCTCAGCAAAGGGGTTGGAAGCACTGGAACATTACTGGGGCCCAAGATGGGCTGCCTAGGGCTGAGCTTTGGGATGAGAAGGAACGAGGGGGACATAATCTTTGCCCTCCCAGTGACCAGCCCCAGCCAGGATTCATCAACACACGAGTAAAACAAAACAGAGTTTGAGACTAATACTTCCAAGACTATCTCAGAGAAACAGGCGAAGTGATGTCTCATGGGTCACACGCGAGAGGTGCAAGGACCACCTGGACTCAGGAGCAGCCCCGCTCCCTTTGCTGAGCTCACCTTGCACTGAAACAGGGTCCCTTCTCACCTTCCCTGCAACTAGTGTGGGGCAGCCATCCTGCCTGAAAGCTGACACTCCCTTCAGTCACGCAGGATTCTGGGCCAAATCACACTTGGCTAACAGCAACTACACGAGGACCAGCTGTCAGGCCACGCCCAGAAGCAGGTGAAAAGTAAGAGCTGATCTCTGTCCCAGCCAGAGAGACCAGGCCTGGGAACTACTCTGTGTCCGGCCTGACCCTGAAGTCCATCCCTGCCGATCATGTCCTCTCTGGGCCACATTGGCTATTTCGGGAACTCCTATTCTGTGCCTCTCATTTCTGGTGGTGCCACTGCCATCGACATACAGGAAATAGAGAAGACAAGAAACAACAAAGTAGCTTCTCTCTTCAGGCTCTCGGGAAGACGGGCAGACAGTGCTAACGCCAGCTATGAAGTCCGAGCTCGACCCATTCTCCCTCAGATGGAATATGAACATCCCGGCCACGCCCAGGTCATGATGAAGAACTGACTTCCTGATGTTGCACCTCGGCTGCCCCCGTGGCTCTGCTGCCCTCATGCCTTCCTTCTGCTTCTCCAAATCCTGTTCCTTTTCAGGCCCAGGCCAAGGCTGTACCTGCTCTCTCTCATAGAGCCCACTGGGCAGCTGTCTGGGAATTCTTAGAACCTCAGTGTTGGTAACGCTGATTTGTGCCTTTGATCACACATAGCAGAAGGCCCCGAATACCACACACACAAAAACTGTATTCTAAAGATTAGAGATGACCAGGGGAATTGGGTTATGAGGAGATAGTTTCTGAGGTTAACGAGGGACATTTTAAAATCACACCAGCCTCATTGTTTTCAAATGTGGGTTAAGTATGGACACCTACAGAGCAATCAAATTCAACCACATACAACGTATTTCCACCAAAGGCAGGCTCCCAAAAGAAACTCAGTCCAGAACTGGGTTAATTTTATTTTCATATGACCTTAAGCCAACCACCTTGACTTGTTTTTTGCAAAGGCCTTCAGGAGCAAACAAAAAGCTTTGTCCACGGTGGGTTCAATGGGGACGTCCTGGAGCCTCTGCTGTCCCACAGCCACATTTGTCTCTCCCCACCTCGTAATGCATGAGTCACCCTCCATCCTCCTAGGAAGGCAAGTGCTCCCCCTGCCACTCACAGCCTAGGGCAAGCCCTTTGGTTACCTTTTCATGATGCTGTGTTTCCTGAGCACAGAACACGGAAACCAGGAGGAGGCTGCATGATAGAGGCTGAGCCTCTATATGACCTTGACATTATGTATTTTGGACACTCAAGAGTTACACCACATGAATTCAAAAAGACACGCAGCAACTGAATGTGCACAACCTCACCCTATCCTCAGAGAATGCAGTTGCTCCCAGGGACCACAGAATGTGACCATCATGCTCCATCTGGAACAAGCATTTCTCCCATCACAGCCTAGGTCCTCATTCATGAGAGGAAGCTCCACTCAGGCTGCCTGTCTATGGGAAGGCCAGCGAGGCAGTAGCACATTCCTCATCATCTGGGTGACTCACCAGTGTGAGAGCGGCTCCGCAATACGTACCCTTTTGTGGAACTCCCGAGGATTTCTGTAATGACAGAAAATAAATTGCTATGAGCATCAGACCATGCTGTGTCCTGTGTGCATGGGACTTTTCTTCACTTAGTGACATTAGAAAACAAGATGGAAACCGGTGTTCAAAGGAACCCAAAAGAAGAACAGAAGAAATCGACTCATACCAAAGACACAAATTTTTCTCAGAGGATGTTTCCACTCAAGTCCATGTTGGCTGGCAAGTAAGTGATTTTGTTCCAAAGAGAGAACAAAATTGGTAAGCCTCACTGCCCCACAATGTGTGACTGATGCTGTCATTTTCTCCCACTGTCTTAAATCAAGCTTCATTGGGGACAGACTCTCACAATTCCCCCCAAGGACATTGTGTAACTAATCTAAGATATATATTGTCAGATTCTCATATCTTAATTTAATCCAAATAAAATAAGGCTAAGAAAGCAACAGTTTTTCTCAGAGAAATGCAGGTGGCCTGACCTTCACATCCTCTGGGTCCTCCTCCTCTCCCTTGTCACTGGACCGCTCCTGTAGTAGATGCTCTGGAAGAATTAGGAGGATACAGAGTGACCGTCAGCACCGTGGTGGTGTTGCTCATGAACAATTCAGTGACATTACTTGAGGTGGGTGGGGGAGGAGGACAGCAGAACAGGAGAGACGCAGGGAAGAAAGGGAATCAGGGCCTTTGGCTTTCTAGCTCCAATTTTAAACAGGGCACACCAGGCATTGCAAACTGTGCGTCCCTGGCAGCCTCTTAGGGCTCCTCCCTCCTCATCTGACCTGAGCTAATGTGCCCTCTTATTGATCCCTGCCAAAGTCATTTCCTCCTCAGAATCCACATGTGTTGCTGCTCTGCATATTATCCCTTTTAGAAGATTTTGTACTGAATAAGAAGAAAGCTTTCATTAAAGAGATTTAATTCTAGCCAAAAGATTTCATTAACTAACTTTCTGTTATAAGGCAATTAAACCAAGATTTGAAAATACTCAATTATCCTGCCATTTCACGATGACCCCTACTTAGCATGTGATATTTGTCCTTCCACTCTTCTTTTGCAACACGATGTGTGTGCACCATGGAGTGCACTGCTCCTCATGCTCACACTGACTCCAGCACGGGGACAGCCTGTCATGGGGAGCAGCGAGGGGGGTGGGGAGTGGGCACTGACCCTCTCCAACCCAGCTCTGCAGGAGATTCCAGCAGGGAAAGTGGGTGCCAGGCTAACACCCAATTTGATCCTTGAGATTTTATTGGATGCTATATCTTGGGATTGGGTTCCTCTGAATTTCTAAGACTTGCGGTGATTATCTCATTAAATACAATAGAATATCCCACTGATTATTGTCTGTGTTTGAACAGGAGCTGAGGGATGACCTCACTGCTGTAGATCAAAAGCCTGTGGACTCTGTGTGTTTTACATTAATGATCACACTGAAGCCCACTGTACAATGTACCTGCTCAAACCAACGCTGGGTGAGCTGACCATTGACACCATCCAGTCATGATAGTGTTTGGGATCTGAATAGGTTTTCATTCTCCCACATGCACACACAAGTGCTGGAATAACTTGGCCTAGCAAGAAATTATACTAGGGCTTTGTGATAAATTCAGTGTAGTGGCTCATGGCATTAACCTTCCACTCATTCCCGACTTCACATGTGCCTCTTCCATTTAAAAGACCAAGAGCTTGGGAAATTCGTCTCTGCACCATGTCCATCTGAGGACTGGGGATAGTGAACTTATGTTCAGGTACAGCTGTGCTGGAGGATGAATGGGTTGATGTATGTAAACTGTGCAGTGGTGATGGAAATTTTCTTGAACATTGATCCTTGTGTTGTGCTTTGAACATGGGAGTATGTTTTCTGGGGAAATGCACACACACTCCCAAAGACATCCACAATCATTCCATGCACACTCTCTCCTCTGTCCCTCCCAACCCTGATGAACCACCCCACCTGACATGACATTGCTGCTTCCAGGGATGACAGTACCATGGTTACAGTTGTTTACTGGACTGCTAGTATTTTTTTAAACCAAACTTTCCAAATCTAATTTCTGGCAGAAAGCTCAAACCAGAGTGGCTCTTGAGCAAAAGCAGGCAAAACAGTGTCATCTTTGCAACACTAAGATTTTGAACGTAAACAGAGAGGTGATCCCAGAATACGTACCGTTCGCCAGTGTGGCTGGGTCCACCTGCATCTAGAGAAAAACAAAACACTATGAGGGTCAGACCAGGCTGTGTCCTGTGTGCACGGCCTTTTCTTTACTTGTTGATATTAAAAAAACAGATGGTAAATAGTGGTTGAGACAATGGCCCTGATATCTAGAAGACATTCGTGGAAAGGCACGAGATTTTTGTGCAAGATTTTCAATTGTTTTTATTTGACAATTCCAAATACTTCTTAAAAAGGCATTTCTCTTGAGGAAAATGCCTGCTGACACACAGCTTGTAAATGTGGATGCCATCTGAAACCATTTTTTAGTGGATAATGAACTCTGATATTTGCCCACCAAGAAATTCTTGTCAGTCACCTATCGCGTACATGGTAAGATGTGTACATCTTAGTTCAATTGAAACAGAGAGAAACCGAGAGAAATTCAATTTCCATTTCAGAGGAAATAAGATGACTTTACCATGTGAACCCCTGTGGCTTCCTCCGAGGATGTCTGCCTGGGCACAGCCTCCTCCAGGTCTTCCAGGTCACCTAGGAAACAGAGTCACTATAAGCACATGAGCTCCACTGAGTGAATCCCTCAGGTGATCTTGGAGCTGTGGACCTGGGGCTGGCATGTGTGGAAAGGTGTGTTCACAGCACAGACTCAGCTGCTGCCGGTCCCTCCTCCATGGTGGTGAGGGAAGACAAATGGTGAAGGAAGGCATCGGGAAGGCCACAGAAGACAGCTAAGGCAACCTCTTCAACATGAAATAATCCATCTCAAACAGGGCACACCACATAGTGTTTCCCTGTAGCAACTCAGGGCTCCTCCTTCTTAATCTGACCTAACTTGTCCTCCCTTCTTTATCCCCTTGAGGTCATTTCCTCCCCAGGAGCCACATGTACTGCTGCTGTGCTTTTGTTCCTCCTAGAACTTTTTTGTTTTTCTTTTTTTTGCGATGGAGTTTCACTCTTGTTGCCCAGGCTGGAGTGCAATGGCGAGATCTCGGCCTACCACAACCTCCGCCTCCTGGGTTCAAGTGATTCTGCTGCCTCAGTCTCTTGAATAGCTGGGATTACAGGAATGCACACCCATTCCTGGATAATTTTACAATTTTAGGAGAGACGGGTTTCCTCCATGTTGATCAGTCTGGTCTCAGACTGTTTGTTTATACCAAACTGCCTAAAACCTCATTTCTGTTAGGAAGCTCCAGAGAAATTCTCCAGCAAATGCAGGGTAAAAAGTGCCACCTTTCTGAAAAACTAAGATATTTCCTTAGCAAAAAACTAATCCCTGGGGTGTGGGGGGCAAGATGAGGGAGAGCATTAGTAAAGACCTAATGCACACGGGGCTAAAAACCTAGATGACAGGTTGATAGGTGCAGCAAACCACGATGACACATTTATACCTATGTTACAAAACTGCACGTTCTACACATGCATCCCAGAATTTCAAGCAAATTAAAATCAATTAAAAAAAAACCCCAAAACACATACCTTCTTCCTCAAAGTGTACTCTTTTCTGCAATTAAAGGAAAGAAAAACATGATGAGAGTCAGACCACACTGTGTCCTGTGTGCACAGGTCTTTTCTGCATTGTTGACGTTAGAAAACCCAATGGAAATAGTGAAAATAGTCAACACGAGGGCCCCAAAATAAAGCCTAGAGGACACGTGGAAAGACACAAGTTTTTTGGGGCATGATTTTTGAGTTTATTTTCACTGCATGTTCATCACTATTTTCAAGAAGAAAGCACTTCTCCTATGGGAAATGTTTGCCGTCATAGAGTTTTTAAGTGAACCTGTCATCTATAAATGCCATCTTGAATTCATTCTTGCTGGTAATAAACTCACTTTACAGCTGCCCACCAAGACATTCTGTAAGTCATCTATAATGTACATGGTAAGATCACCGTCTCTTATCTCAATTTATATAGAAACGAAGAGAAATAAAATTCCCACCTCAGACAAACCAAAAACACTTTACCTTCAATGAGTAAGGGAAGCTCTCAGATGGTACCTTGAGCAGACGATCGCACAACAAGCCTTCGTCGCTCTCTAGGAAACACAGAGTCGTTGTCAGCACACTGGATGCGCTGAAGGAATCCGTCAGGCAGATTCGGGCGCTAAAAACACGGAGCTGGCCCATGTAGACAAGGGGGGTTAACTACAAAAACGGACCTCCTGCCAGAGCATCCTCCTTGGTGATGAAGAAAGGTCAGTGAGACCATCACGAAAGCCATGGAAGACAGAGCCTTGGCAGCACACACAGGCACTGCCGATGCTGTGACAGTGTCTCTTCCTTCTCCCATGCATTTTGAGGCCTGGGAAATTTCCACTTTTCTGGTGAAATGTGACAATGTCATTTGTCTTTCCTGGGTCTACATATGCTTCTCCTGCACTTTCCATCCATTTTATTGAACTTCCGACATAGTTTTCGTAAAACATACAAAATGTATTATTGTAATCATTCAGTGCACACTTCAGGAGAAGACACGAGCAGAACCGCAGGAGCAGAGAAGAGAAAACCTCACTGTTTGAGGAGCCCACGCTCTTCTCCCCTGACCCTGGATTACAACCCACCCAGGCACCTGGGTAACTGTGGGAACCCACAGACTATAGAAAATGAGCAGAAAGCCTTTGCACGCTTGTGCTAGATCTCACATCAGGAATGCAGGCATCAGAACATCACGGGGCCCAACATGGACTGCCCAGGGCTGAGCTCTGGGAGTAGAAAGAATGAGGAGGACACAGTCCCTGCCCTCCCGATGACCAGCCATGGCCAGGATTCCTCCACCTATGAGTAGGAGACTACAGACTTTGGGACTGATGATTGCAAGTCTGTCTCAGAGAAACAGAGAAACTGATCTCCTATGGGTCACACGGGAAAGCTGCGAGGACCACCTAAACTCCAGAGCAGCCCCTCTCCCTTTGCTGAGCTCAGCTGCCTTAGAGCAGGGTCCCCTCCTCACCTCCTGTGACACTAGCATTGGGCAGCTGCCCTGCCTGGGAGCTGAGGCTCCCTCCAGTAAAACGGAACTCTGGGCCAGGCCACTCTGGGCCAATAGCAGCTACACAAAGACCAGCTGTCCGGCGACTCCCAGGAGCTGATTGTTCTAGCCACAGGGAGATCGAGCGTGGCAACTACTCCGTGTCTGACCTGACCCTCCAGTCCGTCCCTGCTGATCATGTTCTCTCTGGGCTAAGTTGAACATTTCAGGCACTCACTCCTATTCTCTGTCTCTCACTAATTTCTGATGGTGCCTTTGCCATCAATACACAGGGAGATGGAGAAGACAAGAAACAAGAAAGTAGCACCTCTGTCCAGGGTTTTAGGAAGATGGGCAATGTTCAGGCCAGCCATGAAGTCAGAGCTCAACTCCTCCCCTTCAGATGAGGCGTGAACGTCCTGCCCACACCCAGGTGATGATGTGGAACTGACTCTGCTGATGCTGCACCTCGGCTTCCCCATGGCTCTGCTGCCCTCATGCCTTCCTTCTGCTCCTCCAAATCATGTTCCTCTGCAGGCCCAGGCCAAGGCTGTACCTGCTCTCTCTCTCATGGAGCCCACTGGGCAGCTATCTGTGAATTCTTAGAACCTCAACATGGGTAACACTGATTTGTACCTTTAATCAGTCAGCAGAAGGCCCCCTGAGTAGCCACAAAAAACTATATTCTACAGATTAAAGATGACTCGGGAATTGGGTTATGAGGAGATTGTTTCTGAGGTTAGTGAGGGACCTTTTAAATTCACACCAACCTGATTGGTTTAAAATGTGGGATAAATATTGACACCTAAAGAGCAATCAAATTTGATTTATACACAATAAGTTTCCACCAAATGCATACTCCAAGAAAAAACTCAAACTAAATTTGGCTCAGTTTATATTCCTATTCACTGAAACCAACTGCGTTCACTTGTCTTTTTTTGCAAAAGCCTTCAGAAACAACCAACCTTTGTCAACAGTCGGTTCAATGGGGACATCATGGAGCCTCTGAGGTACCACAGCCAAGTTTGTTTTTCCCCATCTGTAATGCATGAGCCACCCTCCATCCTGCTAGGAAGGCAAGTGCTCATCCTGCCTCTCAGACCCTAGGGCAAACCCCTTGGTTCTCTTTACATGTTGCTGTTTCTGAGCCGAGGACACAGAAACCATGACTAGGCTGAGGGATACAAGGCGGAAACTCTACATGACCCTGGCATTATCTATTCTGAACCACGTTATCTGATGGTCAATATGAGGCCTCAATGGAGAAAACTGGGGTGATTTCACCCCAACCCCACCTGCAGCCTCCTCTCTTCTCAGTTTCCCAGCAGAACTGGCTGTAGCACGAGGCTGCACCAGGCTGTAAATGCACAGGAAGGAGCCCCCCACTCTCCCTGCTCAAGATGGGTCGTGGAGGGTCACTTCTGAGGGCTTTGGTAGAAGAGGCTTGTAAAGGAGGGAAAGGGCTAGAGTGAGGTGTCATGACCTCTCCAATGGCAAGAGGAAATAGAAAGGCCTGTGAAGAGGTGAGGTTTATTAGAAAATAAAGTATAGCAGGGAATTCTGAAGAAAAAAATAAAATGAGCAGAGATCCTGATACAGTTCTGTTCTATGGGTGCCCAGTGAGAATTTCCTAGGTGTGGACAGGATTTCCTTTAGGTTAATTAAAGTGTCCTGTGCATGAAATAAACTGCACACACTGGAAGCTTACAAGCCGATTTTTTCATGTGCCTGTAATAGGACCACAACGGTGACGGAAATCTCTGTTGAGAATGTGGACACTAGTAAATCTGGGGATATGTGGTATGGAAACCCAAACACACACACCCAGACACACTGACCGTGGCACCGCATGAATTCACAAAAGACATGAGCTGGCCCTGTGCACAGGATCCCACCCCACCTTCAGGGATCGCAGTTGCTTCCAGGGGCTGCAGAATGTGGCCACTGTTTCTTATCTAGAAAAATCATTTCTCCCATCACAGCCTAGGTCCTCATTCATGAGAGGACGCTCAGCTCCAGCTGCCTGTCTACGGGAAAGCCAGCGAGGCAGTGGCACATTCCTCATCATCTGGGTGACTCACCAGCATGAGAGGGGCTCCGCAATACATACCCTCCGGTGGAACTCCCGACGATTTCTGTAATGACAGCAAATAAATTGCTATGAGCATCAGACCATGCTGTGTCCTGTGAGCACAGGACTTTTCTTTGCTTAGTGACATTAGAAATCAAGATGAAAACCAGAGTTCAAAGGAACCCAAAAGAGGAACAGAGCAAATCGACTCATACTAAAGACACAAATTTTTCTCAGAGGGTGTTTCCTGTCAAGTCCATGATGGCTGGCAAGTAACTGACTTTGTTCCAAAGAGAGAACAAAACTGGTAAGGCAAAGGCTCACTGCCCCACAATGTGTGGCTGGTGCTGTCATTTTCTCCCAGTCTTCAATCAAGCCTCAGTGGGGACGTACTCTCACAATTCTCCCCAAGGACATTCTGTCACTAATCTAAGATATACATGGTCAGATTCTTATACCTTAATTTAATCCAAATAAGATAAAGCTAAGAAAGCAACAGTTTTTCTCAGAGAAATCCAGGTGGCCTGACCTTCACATCCTCTGGGTCCTCCTCCTCTCCCTCGTCACTGGACAGCTCCTGTAGTGTATCAGTCAGAGCTAGGAGGATACAGAGTGACCGTCAGCACCGTGGTGGTGTTGCTCATGAACAATTCAGTAACATTGCTTAAGGTGGGTGTTGGGGGAGGGTAGCAGGCACAGGAGAGATGCAGGGAAGAAAGGGAATCAGGGCCTTTGGGTTTCTACCTACAGGCCACCTCGTCAACATGAAATAGCCAGTCTCAAACAGGACACACCACGCAGTGCAGGCTGTGTTTCCCTGGCAGCCTCTTAGGGCTCTTCCTTCCTAATCACACCTGAGCTAACTTGCCCTCTTATGGATCCCTGCCAAAGTCATTTCCTCCTGAAATCCACATGTGCTGCTGCTCTGTATATCATCCCTTCTAGAATATTAAAGTGTGTAAGAAGCAACCTTTCTTGTAAACGGAGATATAATTCTAGTCAAAGTTTGCATTACTTTCTGTTACAAGGCAAATAAACCAAGATTTGAAAATACTCAATTATCCTGCCATTTCACGATGACCTCTACTTAGCATGTGATATTTGTCCTTCCACTCTTCCTTTTCAACACGATGTGTGTGCACCACGGAGTGCACTGCTCCTCATGCTCACACTGACTGTAGCATTGGGACAGTCTGTCATGGGGAAACGCAAGGGGGTGGGGCGGGCATTGACCCTCTCCAGCCCAGCTCTGCAGGAGATTCCAGCAGGGAAAGTGGGTGCCAGGCTAACACCCAAGTTGATCCTTGAGATTTTATTGGATGCTATGTCTTGGGATTGGGTTCCACTGAATTTCTAAGACTTGCGGTGATTATCTCATTAAATACAATAGAATATTCTACTGATTATTGTCTGCATTTGAACAGGAGCTGAGGAATGACCTCACTGCTGTAGATCAAAAGCCTGTGGACTCTGTGTGTTTTACATTAATGATCACACTGAAGCCCACTGTACAATGTACCTGCTCAAACCAACCCTGGGTGAGCTGAGCACTGACACCATCCAGTCATGTAGTGTTTGGGATCTGAATAGGTTTTTGTTCTCCCATGAGCACACAGAAGTGCTGGAATAATTTGGCCTAGCAAGAAATTATACTAGGGCTTTGTGATAAATTCAGTGTAGTGGCTCATGGCATTAACCTTCCACTCATTCCCGACTTCACATGTGCCTCTTCCATTTAAAAGACCAAGAGCTTGGGAAATTCGTCTCTGCACCATGTCCATCTGAGGACTGGGGATAGTAAACTTAAGTTCAGGTACAGCTGGGGCGGAGGATGAATGGGTTGATTTCTGTGAACTGTGCAGTGGTGATGGAAATTTTCTTGAACATTAATCCTTGTGTTTTGCTCTGAACATGGGAGCATATTTTCTGGGGAAATGCACACACACTCCCAAAGACATCCACAATTATTCCATATAGACTCTCTCCTCTATCCCTCCCAACCCTGATGAACCACCCCACCTTACAGGACACTTTTGCTTCCAAGGATGACAGTAGCATGGTTAGAGTTGTTTACTGGACTCTTAGTAGTTTTTATACCAAACTTCCCAAATCTAATTTCTGGCAGAAAGCTCAAACCAGACTGGCTCTTGAGCAAAAGCAGGCAAAACAGTGTCATCTTTGCAACACTAAGATTTTGAACGTAAACAGAGACGTGATCCCAGAATACGTACCGTTCGCCAGTGTGGCTGGGTCCACCTGCATCTAGAGAAAAACAAAACACTATGAGGGTCAGACCAGACTGTGTCCTGTGTGTACGGGCCTTTTCTTCACTTGTTGATATTAAAAAAACAGATGGTAAATAGTGGTTGAGACAATGGCCCTGATATCTAGAAGATATTCGTGGAAAGGCACAGATTTTTGTGCAAGATTTTCAATTGTTTTTATTTGATTATTCCAAATACTTCTTAAGAAGAAGGCATTTCTCTTGAGGAAAATGCCTGCTGACACACAGCTTGTAAATGTGGATGCCATCTGAAACCATTTTTTAGTGGATAATGAACTCGGACATTTGCCCACCAAGAAATTCTTGTCAGTCACCTATCGCGTACATGGTAAGATGTGTACATCTTAGTTCAATTGAAACAGATAGAAACCGAGAGAAATACAATTTCAATTTCAGAGGAAATAAGATGACTTTACCATGTGAACCCCTGTGGCTTCCTCCGAGGATGTCTGCCTGGGCACAGCCTCCTCGAGGTCTTCCAGGTCACCTAGGAAACAGAGTCACTATAAGCACATGAGCTCCACTGACTGAATCCCTCAGGTGATCTTGGAGCTGTGGACACGGGGCTGGCGTGTGTGGAAAGGTGTGTTCACAGCACAGACTCAGCTGCTGCTGGTTCCTCTTCCAGGTGGTGAGGGAAGACAAATGGTAAAGGAAGGCATCAGGAAGGCCAAGAAGACAGAGTCTTAGTCATCTAGCTAAGGCAACCTCTTCGACATGAAATAACCCATCTCAAACAGGGCACATGACACAGTGTTTCCTGTAGCACCTCAGGGCTCCTCCTTCTTAATCTGACCTGACCTAAATTGTCCTCCCTTCTTTATCCCCTCGAGGTCATTTTCTCCCCAGGATCCACATGTCCTGCTGCCATGTTTTTGTTCCTCCTAGAACTTTTCTTTTCCTTTTTATTGAGATGGAGTTTCACTCTTGTTGCCCAGGCTGGAGTGCAATGGCGTGATATCGGCCTACCACAACCTCCGCCTCCTAGGTTCAAGTGATTCTGCTGCCTCAGCCTCCTCAATAGCTGGGATTACAGGCATGCGCACCCACTCCCGGATAATTTTGTATTTTAGGAGAGACGGGTTTCCTCCATGTTGGTCAGTCTGGTCTCAAACTCCCGACCTCCGGTGATCCGCCCTCCTCGGCCTCCCAAAGTGCTGGGATTACAGGCATGAGCTACCATGACCGATCAGAACATTTTGTACTAGAAAAAAAAAAGCAACCTTTCTTCAAAGAGGAGACTTAATTCTATCCAAAATATTTTATGTATTCAGTAACCTTTTCTTTTAAAGAAGACTAAACCAAGATTTGAAAATACTCAATTATCCTACCATTTAAAGATGACTCGTACGTGGTCTGTGATATTTGTCCTTCTGCTCTTCCTTTGAACACAATGTGTGTGTGATATGGGGCCTACTGCTGGTCATGCTCACACTGGCTCTAGCACTAGGACAGCCCATCATGGGGGGCAGCAGGTGGGGGCGCTGACCCTCTCTAACCCAGCTCTGTAGAAGATTCCAGCAGAGAAGATGAGTACCAGGATAGCACCCAAGTTTTTCCTTCAGTTCTTATTTGGTGCTGTGTCTTGGGTATGAGTGCTGAACTGCAGCGTATGTAAGGCTTATGAAGATGATCTCATTAAATACAATATAACATGTCTGACAATTTTCTGCTTTTGATCAGGAGATGAGAAAATAACACAGCACTGCAGCCAAAAGCCTGACCTCTCAATGTCTATTTCCCATTTGTGACCACACCAAAGTCCACTATAAAATGTACTTATTCCTATGCTGAGTTATGTGAGCATTGCGAGAATCCTATATGAGGAGACAGTGTTTGGGATTTCTGAAAGCCATCCAACTTCCATATGTACACTAGGTGTTAAAACTCTCTGGCATAATGACAAATTATACCAGAACCATGTGATACTTCCGAGTAGTAGCCCATGGCATCAACCTTCCAGTCACTCCTGAGTCACCTCTACCTTTTCCACTGAAGAGATAAAGAGCTTGGCAATTCATCTCTGCACTATCTCCATCTGCATACTGGGATATTAAACTGACCTTCAGCTACAGCTGTGGTGGAGGATAAAATGGGCTGACTGACATAAGGTGTGCAATGGTGATGGAATTTTTATTTACAACACTCATCTTTGTGGTGGGCTGTGCACATGGAAGCATGCTTTCTGAAGAAATGTACAAATCCTCCCAAAGACATTCAAATCACTATACACAGACTCTCTCTCCTTATACCTGCCCCCACCTTGACGAACCCTCTTCGATTTCATAAAAACGACACTGCAGCTAACAGGGACTATGTAGGATGGTCACCCCCTCTAACAGTAAACTGGTTTACCCCCCCCGTATTCACTTGCTTAGTAATCGTTCATGTGGTCTCTCCCTGACCTTGTGATCTGTCCCAAGTGCTGGGATACAGGCTTGAGCCAACTCGCGCACGCCTGTAGTTTTCTTCCCAAACTTCATTTCCAATAGGAAGCTCCAATGAGAGTGGTTCTCCAGAAAAAGCAGCTAAGAAAGTGTCACCTTTCTCAACACTAAGATTTTTCCTTAGCAAAAAGGTGATCCAAGAATACGTACCATTTGTTTCTGTGAATGGCTCTGCCTGCATTTAGAGAAAGAAAACACCATGAGGGTAGATCATGCTGCCTGTGTACACAAGTCTTTTCTAAACTTGGTGCTACTAGAAAACCCAATGGGAATTCAGGTGGAGGGCAACAGCCACAAAAATAAAGCCTAGGAAACACCTGTAGAAAGGCACCACCTTTTTGCGCAAGATTTCAAAGTTTAGTTTTAAATTCATAATTTTCAAAAGGGTTTTCTCCTGAAGAAAATGCTGCTGACATAGTTTGTAACTGAAGCTGTCATCTATGAATGCCATCTGGAATCAGTTCTTAGCTGGTAATGAATTCTCATTTTACATTTGCCCACCAAGAAAATATCTAAGTCATCTATAATGTACATGGTAGTGAGATTTTCCTATCTTTATTCAAGTGAAATTGAAAGAAACCTAGGAAAATGAAATTCCCCTTTCAGGGAAAGAAGGACAACTTACACTGACAACAGTGAGGACCCTCTCAGTGGATGCCTTATGTGGATATACAGCTCCAAGCTTCTCTTGATGATCTAGGAGACATAGGGTAAGTGTCACCATATGGATTCCACTGAGGGAATCCCTCGGGTTTATTGGGTGGTGTGCACGTGAGGCTGGCATGTGTGAAGAAGGTGGGTTACCCAGATGGAGTTGCAGGCCCAACCTCCTTGATGGTGAAGGCAGGCAAATGAGACCATGAGGAAAGCAAGGGAAACAGAGCCTTGGGCCTCTAGCTAAGGCAAGCTCATCAATGACACACAGCTGGTCTCAAAGACGGCACACCATACGGGGCAGGCTGTGCTTCCCTACAGCGTCTCAGGTTCCTCCTTCCTAATCTGACCTGAGCGTACTTGCCCTCCCTTTGTGATCCCTTCTGAGGTCATTTCCTGCTCAGGATCCACATGTGCTGCTGCTGTCCATCATCCCTCCTAAAATATTTCGTACTGCATAAAAGCAACCTTTCTTCAAAAAAACTTAACTCTAGCCAAAAAATACTATGACTTCACTGAACCTTTGATTCAAAGAGAATTAAACCAAGATTTGAAAATATTCAATTATCCTACCATTTGAAGAGGACCTGCACTTAGCTTATTCGTCCTTCCACTCTTTCTTTTCAACACAACGTAGGTGTCCCTGGAGTCAGCTGCTGCTCATGCTCACACTGACTCCAGCACTAGGACAGCCCATCACGGGGGGCAGTAGGTGGGGGGGCTAACGCTAACACTCTCCAAACTAGCTGTGCAGGAAGTCCCACCGAGGGGATGGACACCAGAAGAACACCCCAGTTCTTCCTTGAGTTCTTATTCTGCACTGTGTATTGGATGTGTGGGCTGAATTAGGGCACATGTACACTTGTGGCAATCATGTTATTAAACATAGGAGAATATGTCCCTGATTGTTGTCTGCCTTTTTTTTTTTTTTTAGATGAAATCTCACTCTGTTGCCCAGGCTAGGGTGCAGTGGCAGGATCTAGGCTCACTGCAACCTCCCTCTCCCATGTTCAAGTGATTCTCCTGCCTCAGCCTCCTGGGTAGCTGGGATTACTGGCACCTGCTACCACACCCAGTTAATTTTTGTGTTTTTAGTAGAGACAGTGTTAGCCAGGCTGGTCTCAAACTCCTGACCTCAAGTGATTCACCTGCCTCGGCCTCCCAATGTATTGGGATTACAGGCATGAGACACCACACCCTGCCTATTCTCTGCTTTTAAACAGGAGCTGAGGAATAAACCGACCACTGAAGCAAAAGCCTGTGACCTCTCCATGTATGTTTCACATTTCTGACCACACCCAAATCCACTGTAAAACATACCCATTCTAATCCTGGGTTATGCGACCATTAAGACCATTCTACGATCATAGACAGTGCATAGAATTTCCGTATGTATTGTACTTCCACATGCATACCTAGGTGCCCAAAGTCACTGCCAGGCTGATGAGTTATACAATGGCTGTGAGATCGATGCAGGACAGAAGTCCATAGAATCAACCTGCCAACCACTCCTGATTTCACATTTCCCTCCTCTACTGAGAAAGCCAAGACTTTGAGAAATTCATCTCTGCATAACCAGTAACTTAGGACTGAGGATATTAAACTTCAGACAGCTGTGGTGGAGAATCAATGGGTTGATTTATGTAAAGTGTTCAGGGTGATGGACTACTCTTTTTTTTTTTTTTAAAAAAAAAAAACATATAATCCTTGTGTAGTGCTTTGAACATGCACAAAAACTCTGAAAGACACTCACAATCACTGCCCGTCGACTCTCTCCTCCATACCTCCCAAACCTGATGCACACCACCCTTTCATGTAAGGGACACCACTTCCTGCAGAGACTACAGGAAGATGGTCACAATTCTGTCACAACGTCTTACTGTTTTTCCATACCAAATTGCCTAAAACCTCATTTCTCTTAGGAAGCTCCAGAGAAATTCTCCACCAAACGCAGGGTAAAAAGTGCCACCTTTCTGAAAAACTAAGATATTTCCTTAGCAACAAACTAATCCCTGGGGCATGAGGGGAAAGACGAGGGAGAGCATTAGAATAAATACCTAATGCCTGCGGGGCTAAAAACCTAGATGAGGGCTTGATAGGTGCAGCAAACCACTGTGACATATTTATACCTATGTAACAAACCTACACGTTCTACACATGCATCCCAGAATTTCAAGCAAAATAAAAACAATTAATAAAGTAAACCCATAACACATACCTTCATCCTCAAAGTGTACTCTTTTCTGCAATCAGGGAAAAGAAAAACATGATGAGAGTCAGACCACACTTTGTCCTGTGTGCACCGGTCTTTTCTGCATTGTTGACATGAGAAAACCCAATGGAAATAGTGAAAATGGTCAACACGAGGGTCTCAAAATAAAGCCTAGAGGACATGTGGAAAGGCACAAGTTTTTTTTGTGAATGATTTTCAAGTTTATCTTCATTGCATGTTCACCATTATTTTCAAGAAGAAAGCATTTCTCTATGGAAAATGCTTACTGTCAAAGAGTTTTTAAGTGAACCTGTCATCTATAAATGTCATCTTGAATTCATTCTTGCTGGTAATAAACTCTCACTTTACAGATGCCCACCAAGACACTCTGTAAGTCATCTATAATGTACATGGTAAGATTACCGTCTCTTATCTCAATTTATATAGAAACGAAGACAAATAAAATTCCCACCTCAGACAAACAACAAAGAGTTTACCTTAACAGAGTCTAAGAACCTCTCAGGTGGTATCTTGAGCAGACGCTCAAACAACAAGCCTTTGTCGCGCTCTAGGAAACAGAGTAATCGTCAGCACGTTGGGTGCACTGAAGGAAACTGTCAGGCAGACTAGGGTGCTAAAAACACGGGGCTGGCACATGTAGACAAGGGGGGTGATGCACTACATTTTTTTTAAACCATTCATCTTTGTGTGGTGCTTTGGACATGCACAAAAACTCTCAAAGACACTCACAATCACTGCCCGTAGACTCTCTCCTCCATACCTCCCAAACCTGATGCACACCACCCTTTCATGTAAGGAACACCACTTCCTGCAGAGACTACAGGCAGATGGTCACAAATCTGTACCAAAGCCTTTCTGCTTTTTATACCAAACTGCCTAAAACCTCATTTCTCTTAGGAAGCCCCAGAGAAATTCTCCACCAAACACAGGTTAAAAAGTGCCACCTTTCTGAAAAACTAAGATATTTCCTTAGCAAAAAACTAACCACTGGGGTATGAGGGGTGAGACGAGGGAGATCAGTAGAATAAATACCTAATGCATGCAGGGCTAAAAACCTAGATGAGGCGTTGATAGGTGCAGCAAACCACCATGACACATTTACCCCTATGTAAGAAACCTGCACATTCTACATATGCATCCCAGAATTTCAAGCAAAATAAAAATAAAAAAAAGTAAACCTACAACACATACCTTCTTCCTCAAAGTGTACTCTTTTCTGCAATCAGGGAAAAGAAAAACATGATGAGAGTCAGACCACACTGTGTCCTGTGTGCACAGGTCTTTTCTGCATTGTTGACATTAGAAAACCCAATGGAAATAGTGAAAATAGTCAACACGAGGGCCCCAAAATAAAGCCTAGAGGACACGTGGAAAGGCACAAGTTTTTTTTGTGAATGATTTTCAAGTTTATTCTTATTGCATGTTCACCACTATTTTCAAGAAGAAAGCACTTCCCCTGTGGAAAATGCTTACTGCCGAAGAGTTTTTAAGTGAACCTGTCATCTATAAATATCATCTTGAATTCATTCTTGCTGGTAATAAACTCTCACTTTACAAATGTCCACCAAGACATTCTGTAAGTCATCTATAATGTACATGGTAAGATCACCATCTCTTACCTCAATTTATATAGAAACCAAGAGAAATAAAATTCCCACCTCAGACAAACAACAAAGAGTTTACCTCAACAGAGTCTAATAACCTCTCAGATGGTATCTCGGGCGGACGTTCACACAACAAGCCTTTGTCACGCTCTAGGAAACAGAGTAATCGTCAGCACGTTGGGTGCACTGAAGGAATCCGTCAGGCAGACTAGGGTGCTAAAAACACGGGGCTGGCACATGTAGACAAGGGGGGTGATGCACTACATTTTTTTTTAAACCATGAATCCTTGTGTGGTGCTTTGGACATGCACAAAAACTCTCAAAGACACTCACAATCACTGCCCGTAGACTCTCTCCTCCATACCTCCCAAACCTGATGCACACCACCCTTTCATGTAAGGGACACCACTTCCTGCAGAGACTACAGGAAGATGGTCACAAATCTGTACCAACGTCTTACTGTTTTTTATACCAAACTGCCTAAAATCTCATTTCTCTTAGGAAGCTCCAGAGAAATTCTCCACCAAACACAGGTTAAAAAGTGCCACCTTTCTGAAAAACTAAGATATTTCCTTAGCAAAAAACTAACCACTAGGGTATGAGGGGTGAGACGAGGGAGATCAGTAGAATAAATACCTAATGCATGCAGGGCTAAAAACCTAGATGAGGGGTTGATAGGTGCAGCAAACCACCATGACACATTTACCCCTATGTAAGAAACCTGCACATTCTACATATGCATCCCAGAATTTCAAGCAAAATAAAAATAAAAAAAAGTAAACCTACAACACATACCTTCTTCCTCAAAGTGTACTCTTTTCTGCAATTAGAGAAAAGAAAAACATGATGAGAGTCAGACCACACTGTGTCCTGTGTGCACAGGTCTTTTCTGCATTGTTGACATGAGAAAACCCAATGGAAATAGTGAAAATAGTCAACAGAAGGGTCCCAAATTAAACCTAGAGGACATGTGGAAAGGCACAAGTTTTTTGTACATGATTTTCAAGTTTATTTTCACTGCATGTTCACCATTATTTTCAAGAAGAAAGCACTTCTACTATGGAAAATGCTTACCGCCATAGAGTTTTTAAGTGAACCTGTCATCTATAAATGTCATCTTGAATTCATTCTTCCTGGTAATAAACTCACTTTACAGCTGCCCACCAAGACATTCTGTAAGTCATCTATAATGTACATGGTAAGATCACCATCTCTTATCTCAATTTATATAGAAACGAAGAGAAATAAAATTCCCACCTCAGACAAACCAAAAACACTTTACCTTCAATGAGTAAGGGGACCTCTCAGATGGTACCTTGAGCAGACGATCGCACAACAAGCCTTCGTCGCTCTCTAGGAAACACAGAGCCGTTGTCAGCACACTGGATGCGCTGAAGGAATCCGTCAGGCAGATTCGGACGCTAAAAACACGGAGCTGGCCCATGTAGACAAGGGGGGTTAACTACAAAAACGGACCTCCTGCCAGAGCATCCTCCTTGGTGATGAAGAAAGGTCAGTGAGACCATCATGAAAGCCATAGAAGACAGAGCCTTGGCAGCACACACAGGCACTGCCGATGCTGTGACAGTGTCTCTTCCTTCTCCCATGCATTTTGAGGCCTGGGAAATTTCCACTTTTCTGGTGAAATGTGACAATGTCATTTGTCTTTCCTGGGTCTACATATGCTTCTCCTGCACTTTCCATCCATTTTATTGCACTTCAGACATTGTTGTGGTAAAACATACAAAATGTATTATTGTAATCATTCAGTGCACACTTCAGGAGAAGACACGAGCAGAACCGCAGGAGCAGAGAAGAGAAAACCTCACTGTTTGAGGAGCCCACGCTCTTCTCCCCTGACCCTGGATTACAACCCACCCAGGCACCTGGGTAAGTGTGGGATCCCACAGACTATAGAAAATGAGCAGAAAGCCTTTGCACGCTTGTGCTAGATCTCAGAATAGGAATGCAGGCATCAGAACATCACGGGGCCCAACATGGACTGCCCAGGGCTGAGCTCTGGGCTGAGAAAGAATGAGGAGGACACAGTCCCTGCCCTCCCGGTGACCAGCCATGGCCAGGATTCCTCCACCTATGAGTAGGAGACTATAGACTTTGGGACTGATGATTGCAAGTCTGTCTCAGAGAAACAGAGAAACTGATCTCCTATGGGTCACACGGGAAAGCTGCGAGGACCACCTAAACTCCAGAGCAGCCCCTCTCCCTTTGCTGAGCTCAGCTGCCTTAGAGCAGGGTCCCCTCCTCACCTCCTGTGACACTAGCATTGGGCAGCTGCCCTCTCTGGGAGCTGAGGCTCCCTCCAGTAAAACGGAACTCTGGGCCAGGCCACTCTGGGCCAATAGCAGCTACACAAAGACCAGCTGTCCGGCGACTCCCAGGAGCTGATTGTTCTAGCCACAGGGAGATCGAGCGTGGCAACTACTCCGTGTCTGACCTGACCCTCCAGTCCGTCCCTGCTGATCATGTTCTCTCTGGGCTAAGTTGAACATTTCAGGTACTCACTCCTGTTCTCTGTCTCTCACTAATTTCTGATGGTGCCTTTGCCATCAATACACAGGGAGATAGAGAAGACAAGAAACAAGAAAGCAGCACCTCTGTCCAGGGTTTTAGGAAGATGGGCAATGTTCAGGCCAGCCACGAAGTCAGAGCTCAACTCCTCCTTCAGATGTGGCGTGAACGTTCCGGCCGCGCCCAGGTGATGATGTGGAACTGACTCTGCTGATGCTGCACCTCGGCTTCCCCATGGCTCTGCTGCCCTCATGCCTTCCTTCTGCTCCTCCAAATCATGTTCCTCTGCAGGCCCAGGCCAAGGCTGTACCTGCTCTCTCTCTCATAGAGCCCACTGGGCAGCTGTCTGTGAATTCTTAGAACCTCAACATGGGTAACACTGATTTGTACCTTTAATCAGTCAGCAGAAGGCCCCCTGAGTAGCCACAAAAAACTATATTCTAGACAATAAAGATGACTAGGGGAATTGGATTATGAGGACATAGTTTCTGAGGTTAGTGAGGGACATTTTAAAATCACAACAGTCTGATTGTTTTAAAATGTGGGATAAGTATTGATACCTACAGAGCAATCAAATTTGATTTATACACAGTAAGTTTCCACCAAATGCATACTCCAAGAAAAAACTCAAGCTATAATTTGGTACCATTTATATTCCGATTCACCAAAACCAGCTGCATCCACTTGTTTTTTTTCAAAAGCCTTCAGGAGCACACAACCAACCTTTGTCAACTGTCGGTTCAATGGGGACATCATGGAGCCTCTGCGGTACCACAGCCGAGTTTGTTTTTCCCCATCTGTAATGCATGAGCCACCCTCCATCCTGCTAGGAAGGCAAGTGCTCATCCTGCCTCTCAGACCCTAGGGCAAACCCCTTGGTTCTCTTTTCTTGTTGCTGTTTCTGAGCCGAGGACACAGAAACCATGACTAGGCTGAGGGATACAAGGCGGAAACTCTACATGACCCTGGCATTATCTATTCTGAACCACGTTATCTGATGGTCAATATGAGGCCTCAATGGAGAAAATTGGGGTGATTTCACCCCAACCCCACCTGCAGCCTCCTCTCTTCTCAGTTTCCCAGCAGAACTGGCTGTAGCACGAGGCTGCACCAGGCTGTAAATGCACAGGAAGGAGCCCCCCACTCTCCCTGCTCAAGATGGGTCGTGGAGGGTCACTTCTGAGGGCTTTGGTAAAAGAGGCTTATAAAGGAGGGAAGGGGCTAGAGTGAGGTGTCATGACCTCTCCAATGGCAGGAGGAAACAGAAAGGCCTGTGAAGAGGTGAGGTTTATTAGAAAATAAAGTATAGCAGGGAATTCTGAAGGAAAAATAAAATGAGCAGAGATCCTGACACAGTTCTGTTCTATTGGTGCCCAGTGAGAAGTTCCTGGGTGTGGACAGGATTTCTTTTAGGTTAATTAAAGTGTCCTGTGCATGAAATAAACTGCACACACTGGAAGCTTACAAGCTGATTTTTTCATGTGCCTGTAATAGGACCACAACGGTGACGGAAATCTCTGTTGAGAATGTGGACACTAGTAAATCTGCGGATATGTGGTACGGAAACCCAAACACACACACCCAGACACACTGACCGTGGCACCGCATGAATTCACAAAAGACATGAGCTGGCCCTGTGCACAGGATCCCACCCCACCTTCAGGGATCGCAGTTGCTTCCAGGGGCTGCAGAATGTGGCCACTGTTTCTTATCTAGAAAAATCATTTCTCCCATCACAGCCTAGGTCCTCATTCATGAGAGGACGCTCAGCTCCAGCTGCCTGTCTACGGGAAAGCCAGCGAGGCAGTGGCACATTCCTCATCATCTGGGTGACTCACCAGCATGAGAGGGGCTCCGCAATACATACCCTCCGGTGGAACTCCCGACGATTTCTGTAATGACAGCAAATAAATTGCTATGAGCATCAGACCATGCTGTGTCCTGTGAGCACAGGACTTTTCTTTGCTTAGTGACATTAGAAATCAAGATGAAAACCAGAGTTCAAAGGAACCCCAAAGAACAGAGCAAATCGACTCATATTAAAGACACAAATTTTTCTCAGAGGGTGTTTCCTGTCAAGTCTATGTTGGTTGGCAAGTAAGTAATTTTGCTCCAAGGAGAGAACAAAATTGGTAAGGCAAAAGCTCACTGCCCCACAATGTGTAGCTGGTGCTGTCATTTTCTCCCACTGTCTTAATTCAAGACTCAGTGGGGAAGAGACTCTCAAAATTCTCCCCAAGGACATTGTATAACTAATCTAAGATATATGTTGTGAAATTCTGGTATCTTAATTTAATCCAAATAAGGTAAAACTAAGAAAGCAACAGTTTTTCTCAGAGAAATCCAGGTGGCCTGACCTTCACATCCTCTGGGTCCTCCTCCTCTCCCTCGTCACTGGACAGCTCCCGTAGTGTATCAGTCAGAGCTACGAGGATACAGAATGACCGTCAGCACCGTGGTGGTGTTGCTCATGAACAATTCAGCAACATTGCTTAAGGTGGGTGTTGGGGGAGGGTAGCAGGCACAGGAGAGATGCAGGGAAGAAAGGGAATCAGGGCCTTTGGGTTTCTACCTACAGGCCACCTCGTCAACATGAAATAGCCAGTCTCAAACAGGACACAGCATGCAGTGCAGGCTGTGTTTCCCTGGCAGCCTCTTAGGGCTCCTCCTTCCTAATCACAGCTGAGCTAACTTGCCCTCTTATGGATCCCTGCCAAAGTCATTTCCTCCTGAAATCCACATGTGCTGCTGCTCTGTATATCATCCCTTCTAGAATATTGAAGTGTATAAGAAGCAATCTTTCTTGTAAACGGAGATATAATTCTAGTCAAAGTTTGCATTACTTTCTGTTACAAGGCAAATAAACCAAGATTTGAAAATACTCAATTATCCTGCCATTTCACGATGACCCCTACTTAGCATGTGATATTTGTCCTTCCACTCTTCCTTTTCAACACGATGTGTGTGCACCACGGAGTGCACTGCTCCTCATGCTCACACTGACTGTAGCATTGGGACAGTCTGTCATGGGGAAAAGCAAGGGGGTGGGGGCGGGCACTGACCCTCTCCAGCCCAGCTCTGCAGGAGATTCCAGCAGGGAAAGTGGGTGAAAGGCTAACACCCAATTTGATCCTTGAGATTTTATTGGATGCTATGTCTTGGGATTGGGTTCCACTGAATTTCTAAGACTTGCGGTGATTATCTCATTAAATACAATAGAATATTCTACTGATTATTGTCTGCATTTGAACAGGAGCTGAGGAATGACCTCACTGCTGTAGATCAAAAGCCTGTGGACTCTGTGTGTTTTACATTAATGATCACACTGAAGCCCACTGTACAATGTACCTGCTCAAACCAACCCTGGGTGAGCTGAGCACTGACACCATCCAGTCATGATAGTGTTTGGGATCTGAATAGGTTTTTGTTCTCCCATGAGCACACAGAAGTGCTGGAATAATTTGGCCTAGCAAGAAATTATACTAGGGCTTTGTGATAAATTCAGTGTAGTGGCTCATGGCATTAACCTTCCACTCATTCCCGACTTCACATGTGCCTCTTCCATTTAAAAGACCAAGAGCTTGGGAAATTCGTCTCTGCACCATGTCCATCTGAGGACTGGGGATAGTAAACTTAAGTTCAGGTACAGCTGGGGCGGAGGATGAATGGGTTGATTTCTGTGAACTGTGCAGTGGTGATGGAAATTTTCTTGAACATTAATCCTTGTGTTTTGCTCTGAACATGGGAGCATATTTTCTGGGGAAATGCACACACACTCCCAAAGACATCCACAATTATTCCATATAGACTCTCTCCTCTATCCCTCCCAACCCTGATGAACCACCCCACCTTACAGGACACTTTTGCTTCCAAGGATGACAGTAGCATGGTTAGAGTTGTTTACTGGACTCTTAGTAGTTTTTATACCAAACTTCCCAAATCTAATTTCTGGCAGAAAGCTCAAACCAGACTGGCTCTTGAGCAAAAGCAGGCAAAACAGTGTCATCTTTGCAACACTAAGATTTTGAACGTAAACAGAGAGGTGATCCCAGAATACGTACCGTTCGCCAGTGTGGCTGGGTCCACCTGCATCTAGAGAAAAACAAAACACTATGAGGGTCAGACCAGACTGTGTCCTGTGTGTACGGGCCTTTTCTTCACTTGTTGATATTAAAAAAACAGATGGTAAATAGTGGTTGAGACAATGGCCCTGATATCTAGAAGATATTCGTGGAAAGGCACAGATTTTTGTGCAAGATTTTCAATTGTTTTTATTTGATTATTCCAAATACTTCTTAAGAAGAAGGCATTTCTCTTGAGGAAAATGCCTGCTGACACACAGCTTGTAAATGTGGATGCCATCTGAAACCATTTTTTAGTGGATAATGAACTCGGACATTTGCCCACCAAGAAATTCTTGTCAGTCACCTATCGCGTACATGGTAAGATGTGTACATCTTAGTTCAATTGAAACAGATAGAAACCGAGAGAAATACAATTTCAATTTCAGAGGAAATAAGATGACTTTACCATGTGAACCCCTGTGGCTTCCTCCGAGGATGTCTGCCTGGGCACAGCCTCCTCGAGGTCTTCCAGGTCACCTAGGAAACAGAGTCACTATAAGCACATGAGCTCCACTGACTGAATCCCTCAGGTGATCTTGGAGCTGTGGACCTGGGGCTGGCGTGTGTGGAAAGGTGTGTTCACAGCACAGACTCAGCTGCTGCTGGTTCCTCTTCCAGGTGGTGAGGGAAGACAAATGGTAAAGGAAGGCATCAGGAAGGCCAAGAAGACAGAGTCTTAGTCATCTAGCTAAGGCAACCTCTTCGACATGAAATAACCCATCTCAAACAGGGCACATGACACAGTGTTTCCTGTAGCACCTCAGGGCTCCTCCTTCTTAATCTGACCTGACCTAAATTGTCCTCCCTTCTTTATCCCCTCGAGGTCATTTTCTCCCCAGGATCCACATGTCCTGCTGCCATGTTTTTGTTCCTCCTAGAACTTTTCTTTTCCTTTTTATTGAGATGGAGTTTCACTCTTGTTGCCCAGGCTGGAGTGCAATGGCGTGATATCGGCCTACCACAACCTCCGCCTCCTAGGTTCAAGTGATTCTGCTGCCTCAGCCTCCTGAATAGCTGGGATTACAGGCATGCGCACCCACTCCCGGATAATTTTGTATTTTTAGGAGAGACGGGTTTCCTCCATGTTGGTCAGTCTGGTCTCAAACTCCCGACCTCCGGTGATCCGCCCTCCTCGGCCTCCCAAAGTGCTGGGATTACAGGCATGAGCTACCATGACCGATCAGAACATTTTGTACTAGAAAAAAAAAAGCAACCTTTCTTCAAAGAGGAGACTTAATTCTATCCAAAATATTTTATGTATTCAGTAACCTTTTCTTTTAAAGAAGACTAAACCAAGATTTGAAAATACTCAATTATCCTACCATTTAAAGATGACTCGTACGTGGTCTGTGATATTTGTCCTTCTGCTCTTCCTTTGAACACAATGTGTGTGTGATATGGGGCCTACTGCTGGTCATGCTCACACTGGCTCTAGCACTAGGACAGCCCATCATGGGTGGCAGCAGGTGGGGGCGCTGACCCTCTCTAACCCAGCTCTGTAGAAGATTCCAGCAGAGAAGATGAGTACCAGGATAGCACCCAAGTTTTTCCTTCAGTTCTTATTTGGTGCTGTGTCTTGGGTATGAGTGCTGAACTGCAGCGTATGTAAGGCTTATGAAGATGATCTCATTAAATACAATATAACATGTCTGACAATTTTCTGCTTTTGATCAGGAGATGAGAAAATAACACAGCACTGCAGCCAAAAGCCTGACCTCTCAATGTCTATTTCCCATTTGTGACCACACCAAAGTCCACTATAAAATGTACTTATTCCTATGCTGAGTTATGTGAGCATTGCGAGAATCCTATATGAGAGACAGTGTTTGGGATTTCTGAAAGCCATCCAACTTCCATATGTACACCTAGGTGTTAAAACTCTCTGGCATAATGACAAATTATACCAGAACCATGTGATTACTTCCGAGTAGTAGCCCATGGCATCAACCTTCCAGTCACTCCTGAGTTCACCTCTACCTTTTCCACTGAAGAGATAAAGAGCTTGGCAAATTCATCTCTGCACTATCTCCATCTGCATACTGGGGATATTAAACTGACCTTCAGCTACAGCTGTGGTGGAGGATAAATGGGCTGACTGACATAAGGTGTGCAATGGTGATGGAATTTTTATTTACAACACTCATCTTTGTGGTGGGCTGTGCACATGGAAGCATGCTTTCTGAAGAAATGTACAAATCCTCCCAAAGACATTCAAAATCACTATACACAGACTCTCTCTCCTTATACCTGCCCCCCACCTTGATGAACCTCATGCGATTTCATAAAAACGACACTGCAGCTAACAGGGACTATGTAGGATGGTCACCCCTCTTCAGTACACTGTTAGTAATTTCTTCCCAAACTTCATTTCCAATAGGAAGCTCCAATGAGAGTGGTTCTCCAGAAAAAGCAGCTAAGAAAGTGTCACCTTTCTCAACACTAAGATTTTTCCTTAGCAAAAAGGTGATCCAAGAATACGTACCATTTGTTTCTGTGAATGGCTCTGCCTGCATTTAGAGAAAGAAAACACCATGAGGGTAAGATCATGCTGCCTGTGTACACAAGTCTTTTCTAAACTTGGTGCTACTAGAAAACCCAATGGGAAATTCAGGTGGAGGCAACAGCCACAAAAATAAAGCCTAGGAAACACCTGTAGAAAGGCACCACCTTTTTGCGCAAGATTTCAAAGTTTAGTTTTAAATTCATAATTTTCAAAAAGGGTTTTCTCCTGAAGAAAATGCTGCTGACATAGTTTGTAACTGAAGCTGTCATCTATGAATGCCATCTGGAATCAGTTCTTAGCTGGTAATGAATTCTCATTTTACATTTGCCCACCAAGAAAATATCTAAGTCATCTATAATGTACATGGTAGTGAGATTTTCCTATCTTTATTCAAGTGAAATTGAAAGAAACCTAGGAAAATGAAATTCCCCTTTCAGGGAAAGAAAGGACAACTTACACTGACAACAGTGAGGACCCTCTCAGTGGATGCCTTATGTGGATATACAGCTCCAAGCTTCTCTTGATGATCTAGGAGACATAGGGTAAGTGTCACCATATGGATTCCACTGAGGGAATCCCTCGGGTTTATTGGGTGGTGTGCACGTGAGGCTGGCATGTGTGAAGAAGGTGGGTTACCCCAGATGGAGTTGCAGGCCCAACCTCCTTGATGGTGAAGGCAGGCAAATGAGACCATGAGGAAAGCAAGGGAAACAGAGCCTTGGGCCTCTAGCTAAGGCAAGCTCATCAATGACACACAGCTGGTCTCAAAGACGGCACACCATACGGGGCAGGCTGTGCTTCCCTACAGCGTCTCAGGTTCCTCCTTCCTAATCTGACCTGAGCGTACTTGCCCTCCCTTTGTGATCCCTTCTGAGGTCATTTCCTGCTCAGGATCCACATGTGCTGCTGCTGTCCATCATCCCTCCTAAAATATTTCGTACTGCATAAAAGCAACCTTTCTTCAAAAAAACTTAACTCTAGCCAAAAAATACTATGACTTCACTGAACCTTTGATTCAAAGAGAATTAAACCAAGATTTGAAAATATTCAATTATCCTACCATTTGAAGAGGACCTGCACTTAGCTTATTCGTCCTTCCACTCTTTCTTTTCAACACAACGTAGGTGTCCCTGGAGTCAGCTGCTGCTCATGCTCACACTGACTCCAGCACTAGGACAGCCCATCACGGGGGCAGTAGGTGGGGGGGCTAACGCTAACACTCTCCAAACTAGCTGTGCAGGAAGTCCCACCGAGGGGATGGACACCAGAAGAACACCCCAGTTCTTCCTTGAGTTCTTATTCTGCACTGTGTATTGGATGTGTGGGCTGAATTAGGGCACATGTACACTTGTGGCAATCATGTTATTAAACATAGGAGAATATGTCCCTGATTGTTGTCTGCCTTTTTTTTTTTTTTAGATGAAATCTCACTCTGTTGCCCAGGCTAGGGTGCAGTGGCAGGATCTAGGCTCACTGCAACCTCCCTCTCCCATGTTCAAGTGATTCTCCTGCCTCAGCCTCCTGGGTAGCTGGGATTACTGGCACCTGCTACCACACCCAGTTAATTTTTGTGTTTTTAGTAGAGACAGTGTTAGCCAGGCTGGTCTCAAACTCCTGACCTCAAGTGATTCACCTGCCTCGGCCTCCCAATGTATTGGGATTACAGGCATGAGACACCACACCCTGCCTATTCTCTGCTTTTAAACAGGAGCTGAGGAATAAACCGACCACTGAAGCAAAAGCCTGTGACCTCTCCATGTATGTTTCACATTTCTGACCACACCCAAATCCACTGTAAAACATACCCATTCTAATCCTGGGTTATGCGACCATTAAGACCATTCTACGATCATAGACAGTGCATAGAATTTCCGTATGTATTGTACTTCCACATGCATACCTAGGTGCCCAAAGTCACTGCCAGGCTGATGAGTTATACAATGGCTGTGAGATCGATGCAGGACAGAAGTCCATAGAATCAACCTGCCAACCACTCCTGATTTCACATTTCCCTCCTCTACTGAGAAAGCCAAGACTTTGAGAAATTCATCTCTGCATAACCAGTAACTTAGGACTGAGGATATTAAACTTCAGACAGCTGTGGTGGAGAATCAATGGGTTGATTTATGTAAAGTGTTCAGGGTGATGGACTACTCTTTTTTTTTTTTTTTTTTTTTTAAAAAAAAAACATATAATCCTTGTGTGGTGCTTTGAACATGCACAAAAACTCCGAAAGACACTCACAATCACTGCCCGTACACTCTCTCCTCCATACCTCCCAAACCTGATGCACACCACCCTTTCATGTAAGGGACACCACTTCCTGCAGAGACTACAGGAAGATGGTCACAATTCTGTCACAACGTCTTACTGTTTTTCCATACCAAATTGCCTAAAACCTCATTTCTCTTAGGAAGCTCCAGAGAAATTCTCCACCAAACGCAGGGTAAAAAGTGCCACCTTTCTGAAAAACTAAGATATTTCCTTAGCAACAAACTAATCCCTGGGGCATGAGGGGAAAGACGAGGGAGAGCATTAGAATAAATACCTAATGCCTGCGGGGCTAAAAACCTAGATGAGGGCTTGATAGGTGCAGCAAACCACTGTGACATATTTATACCTATGTAACAAACCTACACGTTCTACACATGCATCCCAGAATTTCAAGCAAAATAAAAACAATTAATAAAGTAAACCCATAACACATACCTTCATCCTCAAAGTGTACTCTTTTCTGCAATCAGGGAAAAGAAAAACATGATGAGAGTCAGACCACACTTTGTCCTGTGTGCACCGGTCTTTTCTGCATTGTTGACATGAGAAAACCCAATGGAAATAGTGAAAATAGTCAACACGAGGGTCTCAAAATAAGCCTAGAGGACATGTGGAAAGGCACAAGTTTTTTTTGTGAATGATTTTCAAGTTTATCTTCATTGCATGTTCACCATTATTTTCAAGAAGAAAGCATTTCTCTATGGAAAATGCTTACTGTCAAAGAGTTTTTAAGTGAACCTGTCATCTATAAATGTTATCTTGAATTCATTCTTGCTGGTAATAAACTCTCACTTTACAGATGCCCACCAAGACACTCTGTAAGTCATCTATAATGTACATGGTAAGATTACCGTCTCTTATCTCAATTTATATAGAAACGAAGACAAATAAAATTCCCACCTCAGACAAACAACAAAGAGTTTACCTCAACAGAGTCTAAGAACCTCTCAGGTGGTATCTTGAGCAGACGCTCAAACAACAAGCCTTTGTCGCGCTCTAGGAAACAGAGTAATCGTCAGCACGTTGGGTGCACTGAAGGAAACTGTCAGGCAGACTAGGGTGCTAAAAACACGGGGCTGGCACATGTAGACAAGGGGGGTGATGCACTACATTTTTTTTTTAAACCATTAATCCTTGTGTGGTGCTTTGGACATGCACAAAATCTCTCAAAAACACTCACAATCACTGCCCGTAGACTCTCTCCTCCATACCTCCCAAACCTGATGCACACCACCCTTTCATGTAAGGGACACCACTTCCTGCAGAGACTACAGGAAGATGGTCACAATTCTGTCACAACGTCTTACTGTTTTTCCATACCAAATTGCCTAAAACCTCATTTCTCTTAGGAAGCTCCAGAGAAATTCTCCACCAAACGCAGGGTAAAAAGTGCCACCTTTCTGAAAAACTAAGATATTTCCTTAGCAACAAACTAATCCCTGGGGCATGAGGGGAAAGACGAGGGAGAGCATTAGAATAAATACCTAATGCCTGCGGGGCTAAAAACCTAGATGAGGGCTTGATAGGTGCAGCAAACCACTGTGACATATTTATACCTATGTAACAAACCTACACGTTCTACACATGCATCCCAGAATTTCAAGCAAAATAAAAATAATTAATAAAGTAAAACCATAACACATACCTTCATCCTCAAAGTGTACTCTTTTCTGCAATCAGGGAAAAGAAAAACATGATGAGAGTCAGACCACACTGTGTCCTGTGTGCACAGGTCTTTTCTGCATTGTTGACATTAGAAAACCCAATGGAAATAGTGAAAATAGTCAACACGAGGGCCCCAAAATAAAGCCTAGAGGACATGTGGAAAGGCACAAGTTTTTTTTGTGAATGATTTTCAAGTTTATTCTCATTGCATGTTCACCACTATTTTCAAGAAGAAAGCACTTCCCCTGTGGAAAATGCTTACTGCCGAAGAGTTTTTAAGTGAACCTGTCATCTATAAATATCATCTTGAATTCATTCTTGCTGGTAATAAACTCTCACTTTACAAATGTCCACCAAGACATTCTGTAAGTCATCTATAATGTACATGGTAAGATCACCATCTCTTACCTCAATTTATATAGAAACCAAGAGAAATAAAATTCCCACCTCAGACAAACAACAAAGAGTTTACCTCAACAGAGTCTAATAACCTCTCAGATGGTATCTCGGGCGGACGTTCACACAACAAGCCTTTGTCACGCTCTAGGAAACAGAGTAATCGTCAGCACGTTGGGTGCACTGAAGGAATCTGTCACGCAGACTAGGGTGCTAAAAACACGGGGCTGGCACATGTAGACAAGGGGGGTGATGCACTACATTTTTTTTTTAAACCATTAATCCTTGTGTGGTGCTTTGGACATGCACAAAAACTCTCAAAAACACTCACAATCACTGCCCGTAGACTCTCTCCTCCATACCTCCCAAACCTGATGCACACCACCCTTTCATGTAAGGGACACCACTTCCTGCAGAGACTACAGGCAGATGGTCACAAATCTGTACCAACGTCTTACTGTTTTTTATACCAAACTGCCTAAAACCTCATTTCTCTTAGGAAGCTCCAGAGAAATTCTCCACCAAACACAGGTTAAAAAGTGCCACCTTTCTGAAAAACTAAGATATTTCCTTAGCAAAAAACTAATCCCTGGGGCATGAGGGGAAAGACGAGGGAGAGCATTAGAATAAATACCTAATGCCTGCGGGGCTAAAAACCTAGATGAGGGCTTGATAGGTGCAGCAAACCACTGTGACATATTTATACCTATGTAACAAACCTACACGTTCTACACATGCATCCCAGAATTTCAAGCAAAATAAAAATAATTAATAAAGTAAAACCATAACACATACCTTCATCCTCAAAGTGTACTCTTTTCTGCAATCAGGGAAAAGAAAAACATGATGAGAGTCAGACCACACTGTGTCCTGTGTGCACAGGTCTTTTCTGCATTGTTGACATTAGAAAACCCAATGGAAATAGTGAAAATAGTCAACACGAGGGCCCCAAAATAAAGCCTAGAGGACACGTGGAAAGGCACAAGTTTTTTTTGTGAATGATTTTCAAGTTTATTCTCATTGCATGTTCACCACTATTTTCAAGAAGAAAGCACTTCCCCTGTGGAAAATGCTTACTGCCGAAGAGTTTTTAAGTGAACCTGTCATCTATAAATATCATCTTGAATTCATTCTTGCTGGTAATAAACTCTCACTTTACAAATGTCCACCAAGACATTCTGTAAGTCATCTATAATGTACATGGTAAGATCACCATCTCTTATCTCAATTTATATAGAAACGAAGAGAAATAAAATTCCCACCTCAGACAAACCAAAAACACTTTACCTTCAATGAGTAAGGGGACCTCTCAGATGGTACCTTGAGCAGACGATCGCACAACAAGCCTTCGTCGCTCTCTAGGAAACACAGAGCCGTTGTCAGCACACTGGATGCGCTGAAGGAATCCGTCAGGCAGATTCAGACGCTAAAAACACGGAGCTGGCCCATGTAGACAAGGGGGGTTAACTACAAAAACGGACCTCCTGCCAGAGCATCCTCCTTGGTGATGAAGAAAGGTCAGTGAGACCATCATGAAAGCCATAGAAGACAGAGCCTTGGCAGCATACACAGTCACTGCCGATGCTGTGACAGTGTCTCTTCCTTCTCCCATGCATTTTGAGGCCTGGGAAATTTCCACTTTTCTGGTGAAATGTGACAATGTCATTTGTCTTTCCTGGGTCTACATATGCTTCTCCTGCACTTTCCATCCATTTTATTGCACTTCAGACATTGTTGTGGTAAAACATACAAAATGTATTATTGTAATCATTCAGTGCACACTTCAGGAGAAGACACGAGCAGAACCGCAGGAGCAGAGAAGAGAAAACCTCACTGTTTGAGGAGCCCACGCTCTTCTCCCCTGACCCTGGATTACAACCCACCCAGGCACCTGGGTAAGTGTGGGATCCCACAGACTATAGAAAATGAGCAGAAAGCCTTTGCACGCTTGTGCTAGATCTCAGAATAGGAATGCAGGCATCAGAACATCACGGGGCCCAACATGGACTGCCCAGGGCTGAGCTCTGGGAGTAGAAAGAATGAGGAGGACACAGTCCCTGCCCTCCCGGTGACCAGCCATGGCCAGGATTCCTCCACCTATGAGTAGGAGACTATAGACTTTGGGACTGATGATTGCAAGTCTGTCTCAGAGAAACAGAGAAACTGATCTCCTATGGGTCACACGGGAAAGCTGCGAGGACCACCTAAACTCCAGAGCAGCCCCTCTCCCTTTGCTGAGCTCAGCTGCCTTAGAGCAGGGTCCCCTCCTCACCTCCTGTGACACTAGCATTGGGCAGCTGCCCTCTCTGGGAGCTGAGGCTCCCTCCAGTAAAACGGAACTCTGGGCAGGCCACTCTGGGCCAATAGCAGCTACACAAAGACCAGCTGTCCGGCGACTCCCAGGAGCTGATTGTTCTAGCCACAGGGAGATCGAGCGTGGCAACTACTCCGTGTCTGACCTGACCCTCCAGTCCGTCCCTGCTGATCATGTTCTCTCTGGGCTAAGTTGAACATTTCAGGTACTCACTCCTGTTCTCTGTCTCTCACTAATTTCTGATGGTGCCTTTGCCATCAATACACAGGGAGATAGAGAAGACAAGAAACAAGAAAGCAGCACCTCTGTCCAGGGTTTTAGGAAGATGGGCAATGTTCAGGCCAGCCACGAAGTCAGAGCTCAACTCCTCCTTCAGATGTGGCGTGAACGTTCCGGCCGCGCCCAGGTGATGATGTGGAACTGACTCTGCTGATGCTGCACCTCGGCTTCCCCATGGCTCTGCTGCCCTCATGCCTTCCTTCTGCTCCTCCAAATCATGTTCCTCTGCAGGCCCAGGCCAAGGCTGTACCTGCTCTCTCTCTCATAGAGCCCACTGGGCAGCTGTCTGTGAATTCTTAGAACCTCAACATGGGTAACACTGATTTGTACCTTTAATCAGTCAGCAGAAGGCCCCCTGAGTAGCCACAAAAAACTATATTCTAGACAATAAAGATGACTAGGGGAATTGGATTATGAGGACATAGTTTCTGAGGTTAGTGAGGGACGTTTTAAAATCACAACAGTCTGATTGTTTTAAAATGTGGGATAAGTATTGATACCTACAGAGCAATCAAATTTGATTTATACACAGTAAGTTTCCACCAAATGCATACTCCAAGAAAAAACTCAAGCTATAATTTGGTACCATTTATATTCCGATTCACCAAAACCAGCTGCATCCACTTGTTTTTTTTCAAAAGCCTTCAGGAGCACACAACCAACCTTTGTCAACAGTCGGTTCAATGGGGACATCATGGAGCCTCTGCGGTACCACAGCCGAGTTTGTTTTTCCCCATCTGTAATGCATGAGCCACCCTCCATCCTGCTAGGAAGGCAAGTGCTCATCCTGCCTCTCAGACCCTAGGGCAAACCCCTTGGTTCTCTTTTCTTGTTGCTGTTTCTGAGCCGAGGACACAGAAACCATGACTAGGCTGAGGGATACAAGGCGGAAACTCTACATGACCCTGGCATTATCTATTCTGAACCACGTTATCTGATGGTCAATATGAGGCCTCAATGGAGAAAATTGGGGTGATTTCACCCCAACCCCACCTGCAGCCTCCTCTCTTCTCAGTTTCCCAGCAGAACTGGCTGTAGCACGAGGCTGCACCAGGCTGTAAATGCACAGGAAGGAGCCCCCCACTCTCCCTGCTCAAGATGGGTCGTGGAGGGTCACTTCTGAGGGCTTTGGTAAAAGAGGCTTATAAAGGAGGGAAGGGGCTAGAGTGAGGTGTCATGACCTCTCCAATGGCAGGAGGAAACAGAAAGGCCTGTGAAGAGGTGAGGTTTATTAGAAAATAAAGTATAGCAGGGAATTCTGAAGGAAAAATAAAATGAGCAGAGATCCTGACACAGTTCTGTTCTATTGGTGCCCAGTGAGAAGTTCCTGGGTGTGGACAGGATTTCTTTTAGGTTAATTAAAGTGTCCTGTGCATGAAATAAACTGCACACACTGGAAGCTTACAAGCTGATTTTTTCATGTGCCTGTAATAGGACCACAACGGTGACGGAAATCTCTGTTGAGAATGTGGACACTAGTAAATCTGCGGATATGTGGTACGGAAACCCAAACACACACACCCAGACACACTGACCGTGGCACCGCATGAATTCACAAAAGACATGAGCTGGCCCTGTGCACAGGATCCCACCCCACCTTCAGGGATCGCAGTTGCTTCCAGGGGCTGCAGAATGTGGCCACTGTTTCTTATCTAGAAAAATCATTTCTCCCATCACAGCCTAGGTCCTCATTCATGAGAGGACGCTCAGCTCCGCTGCCTGTCTACGGGAAAGCCAGCGAGGCAGTGGCACATTCCTCATCATCTGGGTGACTCACCAGCATGAGAGGGGCTCCGCAATACATACCCTCCGGTGGAACTCCCGACGATTTCTGTAATGACAGCAAATAAATTGCTATGAGCATCAGACCATGCTGTGTCCTGTGAGCACAGGACTTTTCTTTGCTTAGTGACATTAGAAATCAAGATGAAAACCAGAGTTCAAAGGAACCCCAAAGAACAGAGCAAATCGACTCATACTAAAGACACAAATTTTTCTCAGAGGGTGTTTCCTGTCAAGTCTATGTTGGTTGGCAAGTAAGTAATTTTGCTCCAAGGAGAGAACAAAATTGGTAAGGCAAAAGCTCACTGCCCCACAATGTGTAGCTGGTGCTGTCATTTTCTCCCACTGTCTTAATTCAAGACTCAGTGGGGAAGAGACTCTCAAAATTCTCCCCAAGGACATTGTATAACTAATCTAAGATATATGTTGTGAAATTCTGGTATCTTAATTTAATCCAAATAAGGTAAAACTAAGAAAGCAACAGTTTTTCTCAGAGAAATCCAGGTGGCCTGACCTTCACATCCTCTGGGTCCTCCTCCTCTCCCTCGTCACTGGACAGCTCCCGTAGTGTATCAGTCAGAGCTACGAGGATACAGAATGACCGTCAGCACCGTGGTGGTGTTGCTCATGAACAATTCAGCAACATTGCTTAAGGTGGGTGTTGGGGGAGGGTAGCAGGCACAGGAGAGATGCAGGGAAGAAAGGGAATCAGGGCCTTTGGGTTTCTACCTACAGGCCACCTCGTCAACATGAAATAGCCAGTCTCAAACAGGACACAGCATGCAGTGCAGGCTGTGTTTCCCTGGCAGCCTCTTAGGGCTCCTCCTTCCTAATCACAGCTGAGCTAACTTGCCCTCTTATGGATCCCTGCCAAAGTCATTTCCTCCTGAAATCCACATGTGCTGCTGCTCTGTATATCATCCCTTCTAGAATATTGATGTGTATAAGAAGCAATCTTTCTTGTAAACGGAGATATAATTCTAGTCAAAGTTTGCATTACTTTCTGTTACAAGGCAAATAAACCAAGATTTGAAAATACTCAATTATCCTGCCATTTCACGATGACCCCTACTTAGCATGTGATATTTGTCCTTCCACTCTTCCTTTTCAACACGATGTGTGTGCACCACGGAGTGCACTGCTCCTCATGCTCACACTGACTGTAGCATTGGGACAGTCTGTCATGGGGAAAAGCAAGGGGGTGGGGGCGGGCACTGACCCTCTCCAGCCCAGCTCTGCAGGAGATTCCAGCAGGGAAAGTGGGTGAAAGGCTAACACCCAATTTGATCCTTGAGATTTTATTGGATGCTATGTCTTGGGATTGGGTTCCACTGAATTTCTAAGACTTGCGGTGATTATCTCATTAAATACAATAGAATATCCCACTGATTATTGTCTGCGTTTGAACAGGAGCTGAGGAATGACCTCACTGCTGTAGATCAAAAGCCTGTGGACTCTGTGTGTTTTACATTAATGATCACACTGAAGCCCACTGTACAATGTACCTGCTCAAACCAACCCTGGGTGAGCTGAGCACTGACACCATCCAGTCATGATAGTGTTTGGGATCTGAATAGGTTTTCATTCTCCCACATGCACACACAAGTGCTGGAATAACTTGGCCTAGCAAGAAATTATACTAGGGCTTTGTGACAAATTCAGTGTAGTGGCTCATGGCATTAACCTTCCACTCATTCCCGACTTCACATGTGCCTCTTCCATTTAAAAGACCAAGAGCTTGGGAAATTCGTCTCTGCACCATGTCCATCTGAGGACTGGGGATAGTGAACTTATGTTCAGGTACAGCTGTGCTGGAGGATGAATGGGTTGATGTATGTAAACTGTGCAGTGGTGATGGAATTTTTCTTGAACATTGATCCTTGTGTTGTGCTTTGAACATGGGAGTATGTTTTCTGGGGAAATGCACACACACTCCCAAAGACATCCACAATCATTCCATACACACTCTCTCCCTGTCCCTCCCAACCCTGATGAACCACCCCCCCTTACATGACATTGCTGCTTCCAGGGATGACAGTACCATGGTTACAGTTGTTTACTGGACTCTTAGTATTTTTTGAAATCAACCTTCCCAAATCTAATTTCTGGCAGAAAGCTCAAACCAGAGTGGCTCTTGAGCAAAATCAGGCAAAACGGTGCCACCTTTGCAACACTAACATTTTGAACGTAAACAAAGAGATGATCCCAGCTACGTACCTTTCGCCAGTGTGGCTGGGTCCACCTGCATCTAGAGAAAAACAAAACACTATGAGGGTCAGACCAGGCTGTGTCCTGTGTGCACAGGTCTTTTCTTCACTTGTTGATGTTAAAGAAAAAACAGATGGTAAATAGTGGTTGAGACAATGGCCCCGATATCTAGAAGAAATCTGTGGAAAAGCACAAGATTTTTGTGCAGGATTTTCAATTGTTTTTGTTTGACAATTCCAAATACTTCTCAAGAAGAAGGCATTTCTCTTGAGGAAAATGCCTGCCGACACACAGTTGTAAATGTGGATACCATGTGAAACCATTTTTAAGTGGATAATGAACTGTGACATTTGCCCACCAAGAAATTCTGTCAGTCACTTATAGTGTACGTGGTAAGATGTATACATCTTTTTTTTTTTTTTTTTTTTTCTGAGAGGCAGTCTCTCTCTGTCACCCAGGCTGGAGTGCCGTGGTGAGATCTTGGTCACTACAAGCTCCGCCTCCTGGGTTCACTCCATTCTCCTGCCTCAGCCTCCAGAGTAGCTGGGACTACAGGCGCCCTCCACCACGCCCAGGTAATTTTTTTTGTATTTTTAGTAGAGACAGGGTTTCACTGTGTTATCCTGGATGGTCTCAATCTCCTGCCTTCGTGATGCCCGCCTCGGCTTCCCAAAGTGTTGGGATTATAGGTGTGAGCCACCGCGACCGGCCGGTAAGACTTAGACATCTTAATTCAGTTGAAACACAGAGAAACCGAGAGAAATACATTTTCCATTTTAGAGGAACTAAGACGGCTTTACCATGTGAACCCTTGTGGCTTCCTCCGAGGATGTCTGCCCTGGCACATCCTCCTCCAGGTCTTCCAGGTCACCTAGGAAACAGAGTCACTATAAGCACATGAGCTCCACTGACTGAATCCCTCAGGTGGTCTCGGAGCTGTGGACCCGGGGCTGGCATGTGTGAAAGGTGTGTTCACAGCACAGACTCAGCTGCTGCCGGTCCATCCTCCATGGTGGAGAGGGAAGGCAAATGGTGAAGAAAGGCATCAGGAAGGCCACAGAAGACAGAGCCTTGGTCCTGTAGCTAAGGCGACATCTTCAACATGAAATAACCCATCTCAAACAGGGCCCACCACACAGTGTTTCCCTGTAGCATCTCAGGGCTCCTCCTTCCTAATCTGACCTGAGCTAACTTGCCCTCCCTTCTCGATCCCCTTGAGGTCATTTCCCCCAAAGGACCCACATGTGCTGCTGCTGCTGTCCATCATCCCTCCTAAAATATTTCGTACTGCATAAAAGGAACCTTTCTTCAAAAAAACTTAACTCTAGCCAAAAAATACTATGACTTCACTGAACCTTTGATTCAAAGAGAATTAAACCAAGATTTGAAAATATTCAATTATCCTGCCATTTAAAGAGGACCTGCACTTAGCTTATTCGTCCTTCCACTCTTTCTTTTCAACACAATGTATGTGTCCCCGGAGTCAGCTGCTGCTCATGCTCACACTGACTCCAGCACTAGGACAGCCCATCACGGGGGACAGTAGGTGGGGGGGGCTAACGCTAACACTCTCCAAACTAGCTGTGCAGGAAATCCCACCGAGGGGATGGACACCAGAAGAACACCCCAGTTCTTCCTTGAGTTCTTATTCTGCACTGTGTATTGGATGTGTGGGCTGAATTAGGGCACATGTACACTTGTGGCAATCATGTTATTAAACATAGGAGAATATGTCCCTGATTGTTGTCTGCTTTTTTTTTTTTTTTTTAGATGAAATCTCACTCTGTTGCCCAGGCTAGAGTGCAGTGGCAGGATCTAGGCTCACTGCAACCTCCCTCTCCCATGTTCAAGTGATTCTCCTGCCTCAGCCTCCTGGGTAGCTGGGATTACTGGCACCTGCTACCACACCCAGTTAATTTTTGTGTTTTTAGTAGAGACAGTGTTAGCCAGGCTGGTCTCAAACTCCTGACCTCAAGTGATTCACCTGCCTCGGCCTCCCAATGTATTGGGATTACAGGCATGAGACACCACACCCTGCCTATTCTCTGCTTTTAAACAGGAGCTGAGGAATAAACCGACCACTGAAGCAAAAGCCTGTGACCTCTCCATGTATGTTTCACATTTCTGACCACACCCAAATCCACTGTAAAACATACCCATTCTAATCCTGGGTTATGCGACCATTAAGACCATTCTACGATCATAGACAGTGCATAGAATTTCTGTATGTATTGTACTTCCACATGCATACCTAGGTGCCCAAAGTCACTGCCAGGCTGATGAGTTATACAATGGCTGTGAGATCGATGCAGGACAGAAGTCCATAGAATCAACCTGCCAACCACTCCTGATTTCACATTTCCCTCCTCTACTGAGAAAGCCAAGACTTTGAGAAATTCATCTCTGCATAACCAGTAACTTAGGACTGAGGATATTAAACTTCAGACAGCTGTGGTGGAGAATCAATGGGTTGATTTATGTAAAGTGTTCAGGGTGATGGACTACTCTTTTTTTTTTTTTTAAAAAAAAAAAAACATATAATCCTTGTGTGGTGCTTTGAACATGCACAAAAACTCCGAAAGACACAATCACTGCCCGTAGACTCTCTCCTCCATACCTCCCAAACCTGATGCACACCACCCTTTCATGTAAGGGACACCACTTCCTGCAGAGACTACAGGAAGATGGTCACAATTCTGTCACAACGTCTTACTGTTTTTCCATACCAAATTGCCTAAAACCTCATTTCTCTTAGGAAGCTCCAGAGAAATTCTCCACCAAACGCAGGGTAAAAAGTGCCACCTTTCTGAAAAACTAAGATATTTCCTTAGCAACAAACTAATCCCTGGGGCATGAGGGGAAAGACGAGGGAGAGCATTAGAATAAATACCTAATGCCTGCGGGGCTAAAAACCTAGATGAGGGCTTGATAGGTGCAGCAAACCACTGTGACATATTTATACCTATGTAACAAACCTACACGTTCTACACATGCATCCCAGAATTTCAAGCAAAATAAAAACAATTAATAAAGTAAACCATAACACATACCTTCATCCTCAAAGTGTACTCTTTTCTGCAATCAGGGAAAAGAAAAACATGATGAGAGTCAGACCACACTTTGTCCTGTGTGCACCGGTCTTTTCTGCATTGTTGACATGAGAAAACCCAATGGAAATAGTGAAAATAGTCAACACGAGGGTCTCAAAATAAAGCCTAGAGGACATGTGGAAAGGCACAAGTTTTTTTTGTGAATGATTTTCAAGTTTATCTTCATTGCATGTTCACCATTATTTTCAAGAAGAAAGCATTTCTCTATGGAAAATGCTTACTGTCAAAGAGTTTTTAAGTGAACCTGTCATCTATAAATGTCATCTTGAATTCATTCTTGCTGGTAATAAACTCTCACTTTACAGATGCCCACCAAGACACTCTGTAAGTCATCTATAATGTACATGGTAAGATTACCGTCTCTTATCTCAATTTATATAGAAACGAAGACAAATAAAATTCCCACCTCAGACAAACAACAAAGAGTTTACCTCAACAGAGTCTAAGAACCTCTCAGGTGGTATCTTGAGCAGACGCTCAAACAACAAGCCTTTGTCGCGCTCTAGGAAACAGAGTAATCGTCAGCACGTTGGGTGCACTGAAGGAAACTGTCAGGCAGACTAGGGTGCTAAAAACACAGGGCTGGCACATGTAGACAAGGGGGGTGATGCACTACATTTTTTTTAAACCATTCATCTTTGTGTGGTGCTTTGGACATGCACAAAAACTCTCAAAGACACTCACAATCACTGCCCGTAGACTCTCTCCTCCATACCTCCCAAACCTGATGCACACCACCCTTTCATGTAAGGACACCACTTCCTGCAGAGACTACAGGCAGATGGTCACAAATCTGTACCAACGTCTTACTGTTTTTTATACCAAACTGCCTAAAATCTCATTTCTCTTAGGAAGCTCCAGAGAAATTCTCCACCAAACACAGGTTAAAAAGTGCCACCTTTCTGAAAAACTAAGATATTTCCTTAGCAAAAAACTAATCCCTGGGGTATGAGGGGTGAGACGAGGGAGATCAGTAGAATAAATACCTAATGCATGCAGGGCTAAAAACCTAGATGAGGGGTTGATAGGTGCAGCAAACCACCATGACACATTTACCCCTATGTAAGAAACCTGCACATTCTACATATGCATCCCAGAATTTCAAGCAAAATAAAAATTAAAAAAAAGTAAATCTACAACACATACCTTCTTCCTCAAAGTGTACTCTTTTCTGCAATCAGGGAAAAGAAAAACATGATGAGAGTCAGACCACACTGTGTCCTGTGTGCACAGGTCTTTTCTGCATTGTTGACATGAGAAAACCCAATGGAAATAGTGAAAATAGTCAACAGAAGGGTCCCAAATTAAACCTAGAGGACATGTGGAAAGGCACAAGTTTTTTTGTACATGATTTTCAAGTTTATTTTCACTGCATGTTCACCATTATTTTCAAGAAGAAAGCACTTCTACTATGGAAAATGCTTACCGCCGTAGAGTTTTTAAGTGAACCTGTCATCTATAAATGTCATCTTGAATTCATTCTTGCTGGTAATATACTCACTTTACAGCTGCCCACCAAGACATTCTGTAAGTCATCTATAATGTACATGGTAAGATCACCATCTCTTTTCTCAATTTATATAGAAACGAAGAGAAATAAAATTCCCACCTCAGACAAACCAAAAACACTTTACCTTCAATGAGTAAGGGAAGCTCTCAGATGGTACCTTGAGCAGACGCTCGAACAACAAGCCTTCGTCGCTCTCTAGGAAACACAGAGCCGTTGTCAGCACATTGGATGCGCTGAAGGAATCAGTCAGGCAGACTCGGGCGCTAAAAACATGGGGCTGGCACATGTAGACAAGGGGGGTTAACTGCAAAAACGGACCTCCTGCCAGAGCATCCTCCTTGGTGATGAAGAAAGGTCAGTGAGACCATCATGAAAGCCATGGAAGACAGAGCCTTGGCAGCACACACAGGCACTGCCGATGCTGTGACAGTGTCTCTTCCTTCTCCCATGCATTTTGAGGCCTGGGAAATTTCCACTTTTCTGGTGAAATGTGACAATGTCATTTGTCTTTCCTGGGTCTACATATGCTTCTCCTGCACTTTCCATCCATTTTATTGCACTTCAGACATTGTTGTGGTAAAACATACAAAATGTATTATTGTAATCATTCAGTGCACACTTCAGGAGAAGACACGAGCAGAACCGCAGGAGCAGAGAAGAGAAAACCTCACTGTTTGAGGAGCCCACGCTCTTCTCCCCTGACCCTGGATTACAACCCACCCAGGCACCTGGGTAAGTGTGGGATCCCACAGACTATAGAAAATGAGCAGAAAGCCTTTGCACGCTTGTGCTAGATCTCAGAATAGGAATGCAGGCATCAGAACATCACGGGGCCCAACATGGGCTGCCCAGGGCTGAGCTCTGGGAGTAGAAAGAATGAGGAGGACACAGTCCCTGCCCTCCCGGTGACCAGCCATGGCCAGGATTCCTCCACCTATGAGTAGGAGACTACAGACTTTGGGACTGATGATTGCAAGTCTGTCTCAGAGAAACAGAGAAACTGATCTCCTATGGGTCACACGGGAAAGCTGCAAGGACCACCTAAACTCCAGAGCAGCCCCTCTCCCTTTGCTGAGCTCAGCCTGCCTTAGAGCAGGGTCCCCTCCTCACCTCCTGTGACACTAGCATTGGGCAGCTGCCCTCTCTGGGAGCTGAGGCTCCCTCCAGTAAAACGGAACTCTGGGCCAGGCCACTCTGGGCCAATAGCAGCTACACAAAGACCAGCTGTCCGGCGACTCCCAGGAGCTGATTGTTCCAGCCACAGGGAGATCGAGCGTGGCAACTACTCCGTGTCTGACCTGACCCTCCAGTCCGTCCCTGCTGATCATGTTCTCTCTGGGCTAAGTTGAACATTTCAGGCACTCACTCCTATTCTCTGTCTCTCACTAATTCCTGGTGGTGCCTTTGCCATCAATACACAGGGAGATGGAGAAGACAACAAACAAGAAAGTAGCACCTCTGTCCAGGGTTTTAGGAAGATGGGCAATGTTCAGGCCAGCCATGAAGTCAGAGCTCAACTCCTCCTTCAGATGTGGCATGAACGTTCCGGCCGCGCCCAGGTGATGATGTGGAACTGACTCTGCTGATGCTGCACCTCGGCTTCCCCATGGCTCTGCTGCCCTCATGCCTTCCTTCTGCTCCTCCAAATCATGTTCCTCTGCAGGCCCAGGCCAAGGCTGTACCTGCTCTCTCTCTCATAGAGCCCACTGGGCAGCTATCTGTGAATTCTTAGAACCTCAACATGGGTAACACTGATTTGTACCTTTAATCAGTCAGCAGAAGGCCCCTTGAGTAGCCACAAAAAACTATATTCTAGACAATAAAGATGACTAGGGGAATTGGATTATGAGGACATAGTTTCTGAGGTTAGTGAGGGACGTTTTAAAATCACAACAGTCTGATTGTTTTAAAATGTGGGATAAGTATTGATACCTACAGAGCAATCAAATTTGATTTATACACAGTAAGTTTCCACCAAATGCATACTCCAAGAAAAAACTCAAGCTATAATTTGGTACCATTTATATTCCGATTCACCAAAACCAGCTGCATCCACTTGTTTTTTTTCAAAAGCCTTCAGGTGCAAACAACCAACCTTTGTCAACAGTCGGTTCAATGGGGACATCATGGAGCCTCTGCGGTACCACAGCCGAGTTTGTTTTTCCCCATCTGTAATGCATGAGCCACCCTCCATCCTGCTAGGAAGGCAAGTGCTCATCCTGCCTCTCAGACCCTAGGGCAAACCCCTTGGTTCTCTTTTCTTGTTGCTGTTTCTGAGCCGAGGACACAGAAACCATGACTAGGCTGAGGGATACAAGGCTGAAACTCTACATGACCCTGGCATTATCTATTCTGAACCACGTTATCTGATGGTCAATATGAGGCCTCAATGGAGAAAATTGGGGTGATTTCACCCCAACCCCACCTGCAGCCTCCTCTCTTCTCAGTTTCCCAGCAGAACTGGCTGTAGCACAAGGCTGCACCAGGCTGTAAATGCACAGGAAGGAGCCCCCGACTCTCCCTGCTCAAGATGGGTCGTGGAGGGTCACTTCTGAGGGCTTTGGTAGAAGAGGCTTGTAAAGCAGGGAAGGGGCTAGAGTGAGGTGTCATGACCTCTCCAAAGGCATGAGGAAATAGAAAGGCCTGTGAAGAGGTGAGGTTTATTAGAAAATAAAGTATAGCAGGGAATTCTGAAGGAAAAAAATAAAATGAGCAGAGATCCTGACACAGTTCTGTTCTATGGGTGCCCAGTGAAAATTTCCTGGGTGTGCACAGGATTTCCTTTAGGTTAATTAAAGTATCCTGTGCATGAAATAAACTGCACACACTGGAAGCTTACAAGCTGATTTTTTCATGTGCCTGTAATAGGACCACAACGGTGACGGAAATCTCTGTTGAGAATGTGGACACTAGTAAATCTGGGGATATGTGGTATGGAAACCCAAACACACACACCCAGACACACTGACCGTAGCACCGCATGAATTCACAAAAGACATGAGCTGGCCCCGTGCACAGGATCACACCCCACCTTCAGGGATCACAGTTGCTCCCAGGGGCTGCAGAATGTGGCCACTGTTTCTTATCTAGAAAAATCATTTCTCCCATCACAGCCTAGGTCCTCATTCATGAGAGGACGCTCAGCTCCGGCTGCCTGTCTACGGGAAAGCCAGCGAGGCAGTGGCACATTCCTCATCATCTGGGTGACTCATCAGCATGAGAGCGGCTCCGCAATACATACCCTCCGGTGGAACTCCCGACGATTTCTGTAATGACAGAAAGTAAATTGCTATGAGTATCAGACTATGCTGTGTCCTGTGAGCACAGGACTTTTCTTTGCTTAGTGACGTTAGAAAACAAGATGGAAAACAGTGTTCAAAGGAACCCAAAGAAGAACAAAGCAAATTGAATCATACTAAAGACACAAATTTTTCTCAGAGCGTGTTTCCTCTCAAGCCTGTGTTGGTTGGCAAGTAAGTGATTTTGCTCCAAAGAGAGAACAAAATTGGTAAGGTAAAAGCTCACTGCCCCACAATGTGTGACTGATGCTGTCATTTTCTCCCAGTCTTAAATCAAGCCTCAGTGGGGACAGACTCTCATAATTCTCCCCAAGGGCATTCTGTCACTAATCTAAGATATACATGGTCAGATTCTCATATCTTAATTTAATCCAAATAAGATAAGCAACAGTTTTTCTCAGAGAAATCCAGGTGGCCTGACCTTCACATCCTCTGGGTCCTCCCCGTCTCGGTTGTCACTGGACGGTTCCTGATGTACATCTGTCGTCAGAACAAGGAGGATACAGAGTGACCGTCAGCACCATGGTGGTGTTGCTCATGAACAATTCAGTAACATTGCTTAAGGTGGGTGTTGGGGGAGGGTAGCAGGCACAGGAGAGACGCAGGGAAGAAAGGGAATCAGGGCCTTTGGGTTTCTACCTACAGGCCACCTCGTAAACATGAAATAGCCAGTCTCAAACAGGACACACCATGCACTGCAGGCTGTGTTTCCCTGGGAGCCTCTTAGGGCTCCTCCTTCCTAATTGGACCTGAGCTAACTTGTCTTCTTATTGATCCCTGCCAAAGTCATTTCCTCCTGAAATCCACATGTGCTGCTGCTCTGTATATCATCCTTCCTAGAAGATTTTGTACTGAACAAGAAGCAACCTTTCTTAAAAGCGGAGATTTATTTCTAGCCAAAAGATTTTATTACCAACTTTCTGTTACTAGGAAACAAACTAAGATTTGAAAATACTCAATCATCCTACCATTTAACGATGACCCCTACTTAGCATGTGATATTTCTCCTTCCACTCTTCCTTTTCAACACGATGTGTGTGCACCATGGAGTGCACTGCTCCTCATGCTCACACTGACTCCAGCACGGGGACAGCCTGTCATGGGGAGCAGCGAGGGGAGCGGGGAGCGGGCAGTGACTCTCTCCAGCCCAGCTCTGCAGGAGATTCCAGCAGGGAAAGTGGGTGCCAGGCTAACACCCAGGTTGATCTTTGAGATTTTATTGGATGCTATGTCTTGGGATTGGGTTCCACTGAATTTCTAAGACTTGCAGTGATTATCTCATTAAATACAATAGAATATCCCACTGATTATTGTCTGCGTTTGAACAGGAGCTGAGGGATGATCTCACTGCTGTAGATCAAAAGCCTGTGGACTCTGTGTGTTTTACATTAATGATCACACTGAAGCCCACTGTACAATGTACCTGCTCAAACCAACCCTGGGTGAGCTGAGCACTGACACCATCCAGTCATGATAGTGTTTGGGATCTGAATAGGTTTTCATTCTCCCACATGCACACACAAGTGCTGGAATAACTTGGCCTAGCAAGAAATTATACTAGGGCTTTGTGACAAATTCAGTGTAGTGGCTCATGGCATTAACCTTCCACTCATTCCCGACTTCACATGTGCCTCTTCCATTTAAAAGACCAAGAGCTTGGGAAATTCGTCTCTGCACCATGTCCATCTGAGGACTGGGGATAGTGAACTTATGTTCAGGTACAGCTGGGGTGGAGGATGAATGGGTTGATTTATGTAAACTGTGCAGTGGTGATGGAAATTTTCTTGAACATTGATCCTTGTGTTGTGCTTTGAACATGGGAGTATGTTTTCTGGGGAAATGCACACACACTCCCAAAGACATCCACAATCATTCCATACACACTCTCTCCCTGTCCCTCCCAACCCTGATGAACCACCCCACCTTACATGACATTGCTGCTTCCAGGGATGACAGTACCATGGTTACAGTTGTTTACTGGACTCTTAGTAGTTTTTTAAACCAAACTTTCCAAATCTAATTTCTGGCAGAAAGCTGAAACCAGACTGGCTTTTGAGCAAAAGCAGGTGAAACAGTGTCATCTTTGCAACACTAAGATTTTGAACGTAAACAAAGAGGTGATCCCAGAATACGTACCGTTTGCCAGTGTGGCTGGGTCCCCCCGCATCTAGAGAAAAACAAAACACTATGAGGGTCAGACCAGGCTGTGTCCTGTGTGCACAGGTCTTTTTTTCACTTGTTGATGTTAAAAAAAAACAGATGGCAAATAGTGGTTGAGACAATGGCCCTGATATCTAGAAGACATTCGTGGAAAGGCACAAAATTTTTGGGCAAGGTTTTCCATTGTTTTTATTTGACAATTCCAAATACTTCTCAAGACGAAGGCATTTCTCTAGAGGAAAATGCCTGCTGACACACAGTGTGTAAATGTGGATGCCATCTGAAACCATTTTTTAGTAGATAATGAACTCTGACATTTGCCCACCAAGAAATTCTGTCAGTCACCTATAATGTACACGGTTAAGATTTAGACATGTTAATTCAGTTGAAACGGAGAGAAACCAAGAGAAATAAAATTTCCATTTCAGAGGGAAAAAAGACTTTACCATGTGAACTCCTGTGGCTTCCTCAGAGGATGTCTGCCCTGGCATATGCTGCTGTAGGTGTTTCAGGTCACCTAGGAAACAGAGTCACTATAAACACATGAGATCCACTGAGTGAATTCCTCAGGTGGTCTTGGAGCTGTGGACACGGGGCTGGCGCGTGTGGAAAGGTGTGTTCACAGCACAGACTCAGCTGTTGCCGGTCCATCCTCCATGATGGAGAGTGAAGGCAAATGGTGAAGGAAGGCATCAAGAAGGCCACGGAAGACAGAGCCTTGGTGCTGCAGCTATGGCAACCTCTTCGACATAAATAACCCATCTGAAACAGGGCCCACCACACAGTGTTTCCCTGCAGCATCCAGGGCTCCTCCTTCCTAACCTGACCTGAGCTAACTTGCCCTCCCTTCTTGATCCCCTTGAGGTCATTTCCTCCCCAGGACCAACATGTCCTGCTGCTGTGTTTTTCAATTCTTCTAGATCTTTTTTTTTTTTTTTCTTTTTTGAGATGGAGTTTTGCTCTTTTTGCCCAGGCTGCAGTGTAATTGTGTGATCTCCACTCACTGCAACCTCCACTTCCCAGGTTCAAGCAATTCTCCTGTCTCAGCCTCCTGAGTAGCTGGTATTACAGGCATGTGCTCCCATGCCCAGCTAATTTTGTATTTTTTAGTAGAGATGGGGTTTCTCCATGTTGGTCACGCTGGTCTTAAACTCCTGACCTCTGGTGATCCGCCCTCCTTGGTCTCCCAAAGCACTGGGATTACAGGCATGAGCCACCGTCTCCAGCTGGAACATTTTGTACTTTCTTCAAAGAGGAGATTTAATTCTAGCCAAAATATTCTATGTATTCACTAACCTTTTGTTTCAAAGAAGACTAAACCAAGAATTGAAACTACTCAATTATCCTACCATTTAAAGATGATCCCTACTTGGCATGTGATATTTGTCCTTCTGCTCTTCCTTTTAACACTGTGTGTGTGTGTCATGGGGCCCGCTGTTGGTCATACTCATACTGGCTCCAGGACTGTGACAGCCCTTCATGGGTGGCAGCAGGTGGGGACGCTGACCCTCTCTTACCCAGTTGTGCAGAAGATTCCAGCAGAGGAGATGGGCTCCAGGCTAACAGACAATTGGCTCCTTGAGATCTTGTTGGGTGCTGTGTCTTGGGTATATTTGCTACTGAAATGGAGCATTTCTAACGTTTGTGGTGACAATCTCATTAAATACAATAGAATATGTTCCTGAATGTTCTCTGAACTTGACCAGGAGCTGAAGAATACCCCATCACTTAAGACCAAAGGCCTGGCAGCTCCCTCTGTATGTTTCATATTAATGACTGCACCAAAGTCCACTATACAATGAACCTACTCAAACTCTGGACCAGCTGACCATTGAGACCATTCTATTGTGGTATACAGTGCTAGAGATCTTTATAGGCCAATATGCTTCCACATACACACATAGATGCTAAGGACTCTCTGATATGGTGACAAGTTACACCAGGGCCATGTGATAACTTCAGACTAGTAGCCCACAGCATCAACCTTCCACCCATTCCCGAGTTCATCTATGCCATTTCCATTTAGGAGACCAAAAGCCTGGAAAATTCATCTCTACATCATCTCCATGTGAGGACTGGGGATATCAAACTTCACCTTCGGCTACAGCTGTGGTGAGGAATGAATGGGTTGATTTTTGGAAAATGAAGTGGTGATGAAATTTCGTTTGCAGGATATTAATCTTTGTGTTGTGCTTTGCATATGGGAACACATTTTCTGGGGAAAAGCACAGAAACTTGCAAAGACATTCACAATCACTCCACATTGACTCATTCCTCCATACCTCCCGACCCTGATGCCCAACAACCTCTTCTATCCAAATGACACTGTGCCTTCCAGGCACTAGAGTCAATGGTCACATTTCTTGACTGGGTTATTCACTTTTTAAGACAAAAGTGCTTGAACCTCATCTCTGGCAGGAAGTTCAAACCAGAGTGGCTCTCCAGAAGAAATGAGGCAAGAAAGTGTTACCTTTGTCAACACCAGAATTTTTCCTCAGCATAGCAGTGATCCCAGAATGCATACTGTTTTTCTCTGTGTCTTTGTCCACCTGCATTTAGAGAAAAACAAAACACTGTAAGGGTCAGACCATGCTGTGTCCTGTGTGCACAGGTTTTTCTTTTTCTTTTCTTTTCTTCTTTCTTTTCTTTCTTTCTTTTTCTTTCTTTCTTTCTTTCTTTCTTTCTTTTCTTTCTTTCTTTTTCTTTCTTTCTTTTCTTTCTCTCTCTTTTTTCTCTCTCTTTCCTTCCTTCCTTCTCTTCCCCCTTCCTTCCTTCCTTCCTTCCTTCTTTCTCTTCTTTCTTTCTCTCTCTCTCTTTCTCTCTCTCTCTCCCTTCCTTCTTCTCTCTCTCTCTCTCTCTCTCTCTCTCTTTCTCTCTCTCTCTCTCTGCTGGAATCTTGCTCTGTCACCCGGGCGGGAGTACAGTGTCATGATCTCGGCTCACTGCAATCATCCATCTCCTGGGCTCAAGCGATCCTGCTCCCTCAGCCTCCCCAGTAGCTGAGATCACAGTAGCTGGTCAGCACGCCTGGCTAATTTTTGTACTTTTAGTAGAGATGGGGTTTCACCATACAAGTCTTTACTTGATGACATTAGAAAAGCAGATGGGAGACACTGGTTGAGGCAATGGTCCCAAAATAAAGCCTAGAAGACACTTCTGGAAAGGCACAAGAATTTTTTTTTTTTTTTTTTTTTTTTTTTTTTTGAGACGGAGTCTCGCTCTCTGTCACCCAGGCTGGAGTGCAGTGACCGGATCTCAGCTCACTGCAAGCTCTGCCTCCCGGGTTTATGCCATTCTCCTGCCTCAGCCTCCCAAATAGCTGAGACTACAGGCGCCCATCACCTCACCCGGCTAGTTTTTTGTATTTTTTAGTAGAGATGGGCTTTCACTATGTTAGCCAGGATGGTCTCGATCTCCTGACCTCGTGATCCGCTCGTCTCGGCCTCCCAAAGTGCTGGGATTACAGGCTTGAGCCACTGCGCCAGGCCCAGGCACAAGATTTTTATGCAAGACTTTCAACATTGTTTTGGTTGTATAGTCACAATGTTGTAAGAAGAAAGCTTTTCCCCTAAAAAAATTCTTTCTGCCATACAGTTCATAACTGAAGGTGTCATCTAAGAATGCCATCTGAGATCATTTCTTACCTGGTAATGAACCCTCACATTTTCCCACCAAAAAATTCTTTGAATCATCTATAATACACATGGTAAGATTTTCATATCTCAATTCAAATAAAATAAAAAAGAACCAAGAGCAACAGCATTTCCATCTCAGAAACATAAAGAAGAACTTACCACGTGAACACCTGGGACATCCTTAGATGAACGCTTCCGCGCCAGGTTCTCACTGTGATCTAGGAAACACAGAGTAACTGTCAGCATGTTGGTTCCACAGAAGGAATCCCTTAAGCAGCCTTGGGTGCTGGGGACAGGGGGATGGCGTGTGTAAAGGAGGTGGGTTAAGGGCAGAAACTTGGCTGCCACTGGGACACCCTCCTTGGTGATGAGGGAAGGCAAATGAGACCATCAGGAAAGCCACAGAAGTCAGGGCCTGGTTCTCTGGCTAAGCCACCTCACCACTGTGAAACAGGCAGTGTTCACACAGGGCAGCACACAGATGCACTGCTGATTCCATGACAGTGTCCTATCACCACCTTGTGCATTTTGAGGCCTGGTAAATTTTCTTTTTTTGTTGTTGAAATGTTATAATGTCATTTATCTTTCCTGGATCTACATATGCTCCTTCTGCACTTATCCATTTTATTGGCTTTAAAATCAAGATTGTGGCCAAAATACATCATATTTATTATTTGAATGATCAAGTGCGCACTTCAGAGGCATTAGAGACATTCACAGTTCTGTGAAATAAACTAAACGTAATCCAAATCCAGATGTCTTACTTTCCACCTTAGGAAACGAGAGAAAAAAGTGTAGTGTAATGTAAACAAGGCAACCCCCATCCCCAAAAACATAGCAATATTTGCAGAAATCAATGTAATAGAAATAATAAACAAAGAAACTCAACAATACCAAAAGCTGCTTCTTAGAAAAGATCAATAGAATTGGTAAACCTCCAGCCAGGCTAATCACAAAGAAAAGATAGAAGACGTGATGTACAAATAACATGAATAGAAGAGGAATTATCCCTGCTTATCCCATGAACATTAAGAAAATAATAACAGAATACTTTCCTTTTTTTTTTTTTTTTTTTTTTTTGAGACAGAGTCTCACTCTGTCGCCTAGGCTGGAGTGCAGTGGTGTGATCTTGGCTCACTGTGAGCTCCGCCTCCTGGGTTCACACCATTCTCCTGCCTCAGCCTCCCAAGTAGCTGGGACTACAGGTGCCTGCCACCACGCCTGGCTAATTTTTTTGTATTTTTAGTAGAGATGGGGTTTCACCGTGTTAGCCAGGATGGTCTTGATCTCCTGACCTCATGATCCACCTGCCTCAGTCTCCCAAAGTGCTGGGATTACAGGCGTGAGCGACTGAGCCTGGCCAATAACAGAATACTTTCAACCAATCTATGCCTGCAATTTTTAAGTGCAGCAGTGAAAGTATATTAAAAAGTTTTAGAGTAGGAATGACAGGAAGCACAGTACCCTTGGAAGAGAACCAAGTAGGCAACTGGTGAGATTCAAGTGTCTATGCCCACAAATTTCCTAGCTCAAATGAAATGGACAAATGCCTTCAAAAAGAGAAACTACCATAACCACCCAAAGAAGAGATAGACAATCTGAGTAGGCTTCTATCCATTATAGAATTTGATCAGTAAGTAATAACGTAAAAAAAAAAAAAAAATGCCCATATAATTATACTGGTGAATTCTACCTAACAATTACAATGGAAAACATAGTCTTACCAGCAAGTGATCAAAATTCTACATATTTACCCAGCTAAATTTAAAAATTATGTTCGTCTTAAAATCTGCACAAGAATGTAGGCAGCTTTATTCATAATTGCCCACACTGGAAGCAGCTGAGATGGTCTTCAGGAGGTGACAGAACCAGCTAACACTGTTTGATGACACCAATGGGCTATTGTTCACTGCTAAGAATTACTAAGCTGTTAAATTTCAAAATGATACAAAAGATCTTACATGTATATTGCTAAGTAAAATAAGTTAGTCATAAGTAGCTACATAGCCTATGATTCCAACTCTATAAAATTCTGGAAAAGGAAACCTATAGAGGCAGTAAAATCATCTATGGTTGTCAGGAATCCTCAGAAAAGAAGAAAGGAAGTAGTATGTGCAGCTCAGGTCATGTTTAGGGTGTGAAATTATTCCATCAGGGTGACAAACGACAATGTGAGTTTGTCAAAATCCATAGACTGGACAACACAGAGTGAACCTTATGCTAACCCTGGACTTCTGTTCATAAGAATGTGTGTCAGTATTGGCTCAGTTATTGATGCTAACCCCGGACATCTGTTCATAAGAACATATCACTATTGGCTCAGTCATTGATGCCAACCCCAGACTTCTGATCATAAGAACATTATCACTATTGTATCAGTCACTGATGCTAACCCTGGACTTCTGTCCATAAGAATCTGTCACTATTGGCTCAGTCATTGATGCTAACCCTGGACTTCTCTTAACAAGAATGTATCACTATTGGCTCAGTCACTGATGCTAACCCTGGACTTCTGTTCATAAGAATCTATCACTATTGGCTCAGCCATTGATGCTAACCCTAGACTTCTGTTCATAAGAATCTATCACTATTGGCTCAGTCATTGATGCTAACCCCGGACTTCTGATCATAAGAACATATCACTATTGGCTCAGTCTTGATGCTAACCCTGGACTTCTGTTCATAAGAATGTGTCACTATTGGCTCAGCCATTGATGCTAACCCTAGACGTCTGTTCATAAGAATCTATCACTATTGGCTCAGTCATTGATGCTAACCCTGGACTTCTGTTCATAAGATTGTGTTACTATTGGCTCAGCCATTGATGCTAACCCTAGACTTCTGTTCATAAGAATTTATCACTATTGAATCAGTCATTGATGCTAACCCTAGACTTCTGTTAACAAGAATGTGTCACTATTGGCTCAATCACTGATGCTAACCCTTGACTTCTGTTCATAAGAATCTATCACTATTGGCTCAGTCACTGATGCTAACCCTGGGCTTCTGTTGATAAGAATCTATCACTATTGGCTCAGCCTTTGATGCTAACCCTAGACTTCTGTTCATAAGAATCTATCACTATTGGCTCAGCCATTGATGCTAACCCTGGACTTCTGTTCATAAGAATCTATCACTATTGGCTCAGCCATTGATGCTAACCCTGGACTTCTGTTCATAAGAATCTATCACTATTGGCTCAGTCATTGATGCTAACCCTGGACTTCTGTTCATAAGAATCTATCACTATTGGCTCAGCCATTGATGCTAACCCTGGACTTCTGTTCATAAGAATCTATCACTATTGGCTCAGTCATTGATGCTAACCCTAGACTTCTGCTCATAGAATGTGTTACTATTGGCTCAGTCATTGATGCTGACCCTAGACTTCTGTTCATAAGAATCTATCACTATCGGCTCAGTCATTGATGCTAACCCTGGACTTCTGTTAACAAGAATGTGTCACTATTGTATCAGTCACTGATGCTAACCCTTGACTTCTGTCCATAAGAATCTGTCACTATTGGCTCAGTCATTGATGCTAACCCTGGACTTCTGTTAACAAGAATGTGTCACTATTGTATCAGTCACTGATGCTAACCCTGGACTTCTGTCCATAAGAATCTGTCACTATTGGCTCAGTCATTGATGCTAACCCTGGACTTCTTTTAACAAGAATGTATCACTATTGGCTCAGTCACTGATGCTAACCCTGGACTTCTGTTCATAAGAATCTATCACTATTGGCTTAGCCATTGATGCTCACCCTGGACTTCTGTTCATAAGAATGTGTCACTATTGGCTCAGTCATTGTTACAAGCGTTATCACACTCATGTAAGATGGGATCACAAAAACAAAACAAAACTGAGGAAGGTGGGTATATAGAAATTTTTGATACCACTTCCTCCATTTTTAGGTTACTTCCAAACAGTTTGAAGTGATGTCCATCACTTTACAAACCTGGCAATACTGTCTCAGAAAAAGATCCTTTTTAGTTAATATTTTAACAATCAGCAAAATGTCTACAATTTGCACTGAGATGTTATTTACTATTAAAAATAAACCCAAACCTGGAATGGAAATACACCTTTACTCCTGTAGTTGTAGCACTAATGATTGACTTAACACATTTAAATATGCACATGTGGAATAAAGAATATAGTATCACAATTTTACAATTGTCTGAAATATGAGACACTGAAGAATCTAGAAATCATATCATGAATGAACTGAACAACTGAATTTCCACGATACCTTCCATTGATGCAACTCTAGGGTGTACACGGTCGTGATGCCAGTGATGGAGAATTCGCTTCTTATGCCTGTGGTGGTGTCTGACGGGGGATTTCCTGGGCACCTCAGGATCCACTACTTCATCCTGGCTGGAACACACTGGAAAATGAATTAAAATAAAGACAGCTGTTGATATCTTGCTGCAGAAGATCAGAGAAATGAGTCATTATTTATTCATAGCTTACATGTTTGATCCCATTGTTCGTCATCCGCAGAGCAAAGCCCCCTGAATCTGAGTTTGGCTTCAGAAAGGACTTACACTGTGGGTTGCACTTACAACTGTGCAGGCAAATGCCTGTATTGAGATGAGACATTACAGAAAGGTAGTAGATTGGAGTGACCAAGAGCGTAGGGTCTGGTGCATAGGATCTGAGCTCAAGGACTTTTGAAAAGCTGCTAGAACCTGAGGAAGTTCTATAGACCCCTCTGGGCCTCCGATCCCTAGTCTGAATGTGGAAATGTTGATAATGGCCTACGTTATGTTAAAAGAGTAAAAATAGTTAAACAGACCACTTAAAGCCTTAAGACGGGTGCTTCCTAAGTGCCATAAAGTGTTCAATTGTTTCGTGTCTGGAAGAAGAACCCAGGCCCTTGGTAGTGGTTAATAGAGAAGGAATTGGGGACTCCAGGGCAGTGGAGGGTAAAATTCTCTTCATTCTTGACATGGGTCCCATGCTTTAGAACTCATGAAAATTTCTGTCCGAATTTCCCATGGTGCCCACATCAGTCCAGAGAGATGAGCAGAGCAGGGGCTGCCACTCAGAGTTGACGGTTCAGGGAAGTGAAATGAAGAGATTTGAGCGGCCTGCCCAGATTCACAGCACTGACCAATGATAGATCTGGGACAAGAATTTGGTTGATTTTCCGGGGACAGAGATCCCTGAACACCTGAGGCCTCTAAATCATGGCCTGGACCCTGAACCTGGAGCTCATTCCACTCCCTTTCTCAATCCTCCTGTACCAAGGGCTCTTCAGGAAGGTCGAGGTATTGGAAGAGATGCTGAGTCCAGAAAAAAGCTCAAATCATTAAACAAAACATAACTCCTGTCTCTAGGTTTTAACTCCTGGGCTAAAATATGGCACTTTCCTGCAAACGAAGCCTCTCTGAGGAACAAATGCAAATGTCTGGTCATCCTACCCAGCGCCCCTACTGTCAGCTCTCTGGCAGTGAGCAGCCCTCCATGACCAACTGACCACACCAAAGGACCACGTTCTGCTTGGCCCCCAGGGTAGTTCGGAACTTAGGACATTCCAGACTAACTACCACTCGATGGCTGTGCCAAGAATAAAATTCCCTTCAACTGAACCGTCCTGAACAAGCAATTAATGGGAATGAACTGAAAATGTGGCACTCCAGTTGGGTTTTCAGTGGTTTCTTCTGTATCTAGTCTATGAAATAGTGTTTAAAAAAAAAAAAAAAAAAAAGGCCAGGCGCAGTGGCTCACACCTGTAATCCCAGCACTTTGGGAAGCCAAGGTGGGCAGATCACAAGGTCAGGAGTTCAAGACCAGCCTGGTCAATATGGCGAAACCCCGTCTCTACTAAAAATACAAAAATTAGCCAGGCATGGTGGCAGGCGCCCGTAGTCCCACCTACTTGGGAGGCTGAGGCAGGAGAATCGCTTGAACCTGGGATGCAGAGGTTGCAGAGAGCTGAGATCATGCTACTGCACTCCAGCCTGGGTGACAGAACAAGACTCTGCCGGGGGGGAAAAAGGGGGGGGGCAGGTGCTGTGGCTCATGCCTGTAATCCCATCACTTTGGAAGGCCAAGGCAGGTGGATCAGGAGGTCAGAAGTTCGAGACCTAACTTGCCAACATGGTGAAACTCTGTCTGTACTAAAAATACAAAAATTAGCCAGGCGTGGTGGCGGATGCCTGTAATCCCAGCTACTCTGGAGACTGAAGCAGGAGAATTGCTTAAACCCGGGAGGTGGAGGTTGCTGTGAGCTGAGATCATGCCACTGCACTCCAGCCTAGGCAACAGAGCAAGACTCTGTCAAAAAAAAAAAAAAAAAAAAATGGCATTGGAAACAGTGTATTTTTCTAGAGGAAAATATTTGAGGCAAAAATCTTGATAGAAGAATAAAAAATACAAATTGAGTAATAAAACTCTAAAACATACTTATAAATCTGTAGACAAATGGGAGTTGGGGAAATAAAAAAAAATCAGAATGACATTTAACATACAGGAAAACTGGCCCACCTGAAGAAACTGCAGTCAGAAGATAGAAATGAACATACATACCATTGAGGCAGCAACTACAAACGTTTCCCATCGTGAGTCCTCGGACACAACTAAGCTGCGTTTCCTGCCAACGCTTAGTTGCCAGAATGGCAGCTAAAATGAAAGGCAAGACCTATATCATCAGGTCACCTCAGCGACAGGTCACAGTAGAATTTTCGCAAGCGCACGTGTCACAATAGATGTGATCTAGACCAGTCCATGGTCACATTGACAAGGGGTCACTTAGACTCCATGTTTCATTTCAAAAACTGAATCCCAGACACACAGTATTATTCTGTATTTATGAAACAAACATTAAAGGAGGAAAAAGATCTGCCTCTCCACTATATTTGATAGTGAAAATTTCAGAGTAAAGATAAGAAAAGCTAATACATTGAGAATAAAGGGAGATTCCAGGCTGGATGTAAAATGCCATCCCCACCCAATTCTACTATTCCCAAGTCACCAGAGAGTCCTAGCTTCAACAATTCTAAACTAGTTCCAAATTAAATTTAAAATGCATTAGTGTAAGTTCAATTTTAAAGCCAATCTCTAAGAATATAATTCATAGTAATAAAAAAGATATGAAATGATTCAGTACAAATTTCCATCACTGTTGATTCATCACACGTTTTAAGAACTATTACATCAAATGGGTCATTGATGAGGTATAAAAACTGCATTAATATAGATGTTGCAATTTTTTTTCAGGGATTATCTAATTGAAGGGGTGTTTGGGAAGGAATTGAAGGTATTCGGAAAGGAATACATATTACCTGTATAAATGGAGAATTTTAATTCTCAACAACTGAATAGAAAATTGTGCAGGTGTGTACATATAAATATACACACATATGAGAGAGAGAGAGAGAGAAAACGTAATTTAAAAATACTAGACCACAGATTTATATCTCTGCCCAGGCTAGAGTGCATTGGCACGATCTTGGCTCACTGCAAGCTCTGCCTCTCGGGTTCACACCATTCTCCTGCCTCAGCCTCCTGAGTAGCTGGGACTACAGGCGCCCGCCACCATGCCGGCTAATTTTTTGTATTTTTAGTAGAGACGGGGTTTCACCGTGTTAGCCAGGATGGTCTCGATCTCCCGACCTCATGATCCACCCACCTCGGCCTCCCAAAGTGTTGGAATTACAGGTGTGAGCCACTGCGCCCAGCCTCCGGAAAAGACATTTTAAAAAACATAATATGTTACGAAGAATAAAAAGGAATGAGCATAAGGCTTTCCTTCCTGGTGCCACCTAAGTGTTCACAGTAAATGAAAATAAATGAGTCTTTTACGCTGGCAGCCAAAGCCCTTTTACAAAGCTTTGTCATGGTGTCAGTGCTATATGATTGTTCAATTAATAAATCTGGAAAGATGTGCAGAAATTTAACAGTTGTTATTTCCAGAGGCAGAAGCTGGCAGGCCGCAGAAGAGGAAAAGACAAGTCCAGATGTCAGTGTGCAGTCTTCTGTGCCTTGTGAACGTCCTGCAAGTGTGCTATTCCTGATGTCTCTACTGTGATTTCTTTTTAATAAAAAGAACTAATTCCTCCTAATGCTGGTAGAAAGCAAACATTTCAATTTGCTAATGCTTCACAGGGACAAGAATTCAGGCAGGACACAGAACAGAGAGCTTACTGGTGCTTGTTGATGTCTGGGGACTGCAGAGAAGTCTTATGGAGTGGGATTAAATTCACAGCAGGGGGCTGGAATCATCTGGATGTGCCGTCATGCACAGGTCTGCAGAGGAACTTGGGCTTGGCTGGAGAACACACAGGACTTCCCTGGGCTTCCAAGCAGCAGGCAGTCTCAGGACACTCAGAGCTTTGAATTGGTGGCCACGGGCTTCACTGGTGAGTGTCCTGAGTGAAGCAGGCAGACACTCATGGCGTTTCTAACATAATTGTGGAAGTTACACAACATCACTTCCACGTCATCTGCCAGTGAAAAGCAAGCACTAGTGTCAAGTCTGATTAACCAGTGAGGGTGGGCAGAGACGCCACCTCTCAAAAGGAGAATAGCAAAGAAACTGCAAACGTGTTTTAAAAGCCACGTGCATATTCCAGCTTAAAAATCTCCAGTACAGAGATACCTCTCAGATATGTGAGACAGGGCCTGTCACTCTATGGCATCAGCCAAGAGTAAGTTAAGTGTGGGTTTCACTTACGCATCAGCCACTGTGAGTTGATTGACAAGTAAATACAAACACTCAGGGAAACTAACCAAAGCGCGTTACAGGGTAACAGGTAACAAAAGGTAATGTAGACCTGATATGCTGCTCTACGAAGAAACCATTTCATCCACTCTGTTCACAAGATTTATGCATTTGGAAATGGAGAGACTTTTTTTCTCCACTTTAGATTCAGGGGTACGTGTGCAGGCTTGTTACATGGGGAAACCGCGTGTTGCTGAGGCTTGGTATTGGACCTAATTAAACTAAAGAGCGTCTGCTCAGCAAAGAGACTTTATTTCTTATAAAAGGTTGCACACAGCCCACAAAGTGGCCATCCCGCAGGCTGGGAAGTGTGCCTCCCACCGAGGTAAGAGCCTGGCACGTGGAAGGAGGAAGAGTTGGGGCAGGAGCTTTACTCTGGACAAGCTGGCTAAATAGAAACTTTCAACAGGTTACAGGAGGAGCCAGGAATATTCATGACAGTGGTCCTGATGCATGTGTACAGACCAAACATGCGTGTAACACACGACCCATGTTCACTTTGGGGTGAAGACAATATGTATTACAAAATGTAATTACAAAATGTGTTACAATTAGGCTCTTTACCTCAAAAGGTCTTTTCAGGACACAAAGGCACGCAAGTGCACAGCCTCTGTAAACCGGCCAGAATCAGTCCATGGTGGGTGGGCTCTTAATACAAGAAAGTTACTAAAAACAGTCTCTTGTCCCATCAGAGCTGTAGTTACGGCTGCTAGAACAGGGTTTGGGGGCCAGTCAGTCAGTGTCTGGTGCTGAGTTACCATGGTTTTAATAGTGCTTATTTAGCTGCTAGAGAAAAAGAAAGCCCTGTGGCAATCAGAACAGTTTATTCTTTAAGTCGAGGCGTGTGTGACTCAACCCTTGCCTGGCATGGCCTTAGGTGCTGTTTGTAATTTGGTACCTCGGTGTCACAAAGCTTCCATTCTGTCAGTCGTACGATCTCTACTGCAGCAGGCATGCTGGGCAGCTGCATCTAAACATAAAAGGAAGGCGTATAACAAGGCATCAGATCGCCCAGCCCGTCATGGCCCAATGCCCGGCACTGAGAGGGTGAGGAGGAAAGGCCTGGAGCAGGCTGGACTGAGTGGTCCACAGGAGCCTCATTTTGGGAGCCAACTGCCTCAGTTCATGGCCCCACAGCCCAGCTGCACTCACTTACAAGTCAGTCCCTCCATCTGGAAAATCCGACAGCCTGTCCCATTCCTAGTGCCCTTAGTTTAAACCTCTGTCAGACCATCAAGAAAACACTGGTCTCTGGAGATGCATGGACAGCCTAGTGCATACACTGGGCACTCAATAAATGCCAAGGGCTACCTCCCTGGTGTCCAATAAGGACAACTGTCACTATCATGGCAGTGCAGCCTGAGTCCCAGACTTCAATTCCTTCTTCCCGAAATGTAGAGCAGTGGACCCAGGGTGGGGTGCAGGGCCCCTGCAGACTCCTCTCCTCCTGGGCCCCCAGCTGGGAGAGGGGTGACCTGGAGGAGCAGCGGGAGGAGGAGCAGAGATGGGAGCTGGCCCTAGCCCTGAAGGTGCCACCATCTCTGCATCGTCCTTTCTTCTGGAGGCTTCTTCCTTCAAGACTCTGCCTTAGCCACCCACTGCACAACACAGACATCCCTCTCCTCATTCCGTGCCAAGACATGGAGGCCCCGAATTTGCCTCTCACACTCATGGTGAAACCATGACCAGGACCTGAGCCTCCTGATACCCTTAGAAGACACACAGCCCTCTGCCACGGGTGGGAAGCGGTCAGGGCATGGCTGAGGTTTCATCAGCAACTGGGCACTAGGGGAGCCAGCACCCCAAGGCTGCCTTCTGCACACAGGCCCAGTCTTCTGCTCTGAGGGGCCTGGGCCCCAAACAGCACCACGACCACCACCCACACTTCCACACCCGCCAGCCCAGCTGTAGCAGCTTGGCCAAGATAATGGGCGCTCCTGCTCAAACCAGATTTCCCAGCTTTTGCAGAGTTCATCACCAGCCTCGCTAGCAGTGACTTCCCACTTCTATGCAAAGGAAACTGCCAACAAGGTTACAATCAATTTTTTTTTTTCCCTAGAGTGAGGCCTGGCTAGAAAAGCGCAGGCCACCCTAGTGGCTGGTGAATAACCTTGAGAGGGTCACCAGGCCCCCTCGGCTGCAGGGCTCCAGAGCCCTCCCCTGGCTGACTACATCATGCACTGGCCCTAACCTAGGGTGACGAGGCCAAGGCATCACAGCTTTGACCCTGGTGCCTCTTGCCTGGACAACTGTCCCCTGTGCACTCAGCAAGGCACATGCTAATTTAACCCAATCTGTCAGCCCAGGTGCCTGGAGCTGAAATGGCCTGCCCACTTTTGCCCTGCCCCAGCCCCCTTTCAACATGAACCTTGAGAGTCTGTGGTGCGTTCTTCGAGAGTGGGCTGCTCCAGGTGCTTCACCCACATCGCGTACTTCATCAAAACCACTGTCAGAGGTAGGGCCTGTTAGGATCCCTGTCTCACAGAGGAAGAAACTGAGGCAGAGACAGGGTAGGTACCCCACCTGACGACACAGAGAATTATTCCCTGAGGATAGAGAATAAGCTAGGACGGAACCTGGTGGCAGGCCTGGGCTCCTCCACTCACTGACAGGCATGCAGAGAAGCCAGGGCACCTTGAGCTGCCATCCCTGTGCCACTTACCCACCTGCTTGCGGCCCAGGTCAAAAACATCCCCATAAATAACCGTCCACAGCTGCCCTCAGCCTCCTCTAGAAGGCAGGTGCTCCAGAAGCTTCCTCACAAGCTCTTTGACGTTTCAGTGGCATGCGGGTGGCTGAGGAGCCCTGAAACCAGGTGAAGGTCCGGGAAGGTGAGACAGGGATTTAGCTCAGGCAGTGCCCACCAGCAGGGGCAGGCACTGCAATGGGCACCTACTTGGGAGGAACACCTGACGAGGTTTCCCTGATGCTGGATGCACGAGGCCTCACACCTATCCTTGCTGGACACAGATAACTGAGTTTCAAAGGGTTCTTCCCTCAGCCCTGCCAGGACCTGGTGCCACCAAACAAGAACGTGGATGTGACAAAGTCAAAGAGCTGAGTGCCTGTGCATACCAGTGACATGGGAGTTACAGCTGGGGATGGGTCAGGCAGCCCCGGCAGAGCAGCTGCCACATGGGGCACCCCCTGCAGTGACAGTATCAGATGTGTCTCCAGCTCCCCAGGGTAGACTATGGGGTACAGCTGGGCTCCTCTGAGACCCATTGCAGCTCTGGGGCAGAAAGGGGTCTGGACATATCTTCACCACAGGCTCAGAAGATCAATGGGGGTGAAGTGGCAGTCAAGGTCCCAGGTGGGGCTGACTTGTACTCTGGAGCAGAGTCCAAGGGGAGCTTGGGAAGTGAGCACAGAAAAGGCCTGAGGGTCTGGTGGGGTGGAGGGTGAAAAGAAGAGATCTGGAAACCTCTAGAGTAGGTTCCAACTCAGCACAGACTGAAGGTCAGACAAGCTCAGGGCACAGCCAGGCAGCCCAGTGCTAGGGCACAAGTCACCTGCATCTGCACACTGCTATCCAACCTCAGAGCCCCAACTTCAACACACCTCAACTTCAAGGCAAAAACTTTGCATAGCTGGTCTGGGCCCAGTGAGATCGAATGTGAACATCTGGCCTAGGGCCAACGAAGATAGCTGTGAACACCTGTGCTGGGACCAAGGAGGATGGCTGTGGACATGTGGGCTGGGCCCAAGAGGACAGCCTGGAATAACCGGGATGGGCCCAGAATGCATGGCTGTGAACACCTGGGCTGACCCCAATGTGGACAGCTACAAACACCTGGTGTGCGCTCAGGAGGACGGTTCTGTTCATTTTGGCTGAGTCGAATGAGGACGGCTGTGAACATCTGCACCGGGCCTAATGAAGACAACAGTGAACAGATGGGCTGTCCCCACTGAGGACATCTGTGAAGCCCTGGCCTGGGACCATGGAAACTGCTGGAAACAACTCAAAGAAGTCTTGTGAGGAAATCTATGAACAACAGGGCTAGGCACAATGGGGACAGGCGTGGACACCTGGGCTGGGCCCAGTGTGGATGGCTGTCAATACCTGAGATGGCCTCTAAGAGGGTGGTTGGCACCAATAAGCACATGTGTGAACAAACTGCCTGCCCTCAATGAGGACAGCTATGGACATCTGGGCTGGCTGTCATGTGGATGACAGAGAACTCCTTGGCAGGGTTACATGGGGACCACTGTGAACACTGGTGAGGCCTGGATGAAGACAGGTGGGAAGCCCTGGGCTGGACACAATGAAGAGAGCTATGAACAGGTGGCCTGGGGCCAATGAAAATGGCTCTTAACCCTGGGCTTGATGTCACTGAAGGGAACTGTGAACTCCTGGGCTTGCCTTGATATTGATGGCTATGAATAACTGTTGGTACAAAAAAAACTGAGCTCATACAAACGAGGAAGGCTGTGAACCCCTGGGCTGACCTTGACGGGGATGGCTGTGAACACCTGGCCTGGGCCCAGTGAGGACAGCTGTGAAGAGCTAGGCAGGGCCCAGTGAGGTCAGCATGGAGCTCCTGGGCTGGCCCAATGAGGGTGTCTGTGAACACTGGTCTGGGCCCACTGGCGACCAGGACTAACACCTGGGCTAGCTACCAATGAGGACAGCTGTGAACACCTTGGCTGGGCCCTCTAAGGACAGCTTGGAGTGTTTGGGCTCGGCCCAAAGTCAACAGCTGTGAACCCCTGAGCTGGGCCCAGTGAGGGTGGCAATGAAACCCTGGGCTGGGCCAGTGAGGACAGCTGTGAACACCTGGCCTGGGTCCCAAAAGAACAGGCTGAGAACACCTGGGCTAAGCCAAAATTACATATTTCTCAACTGAACTGAAAATCTGCTCTAAGATGCTTTGAACTTCAACATACAATATAGACAGGAAGTAAATGAAAAGCAGTTCCGTCCTTCTCACTCCTCTGTGCTTCCTCACACGCTACTCTTTGCCTTGCAAACAGCCCTCCTCTGCCTCCCCACATTAACTGTGGTCATCGCCAAAACTCACTTCAAACACTTACCAGTCCCAAGAATCCTTGCTTTTCACACAGCACTTAGCATAGTATATTGTAATCATTTTATTGCTTCCCTCTGAAACCAAGAGCTTCTTGAGGGCAAGGGCTGTATCTTTTGTCTCTATAGCCCCAAAGACCTAAGACACGGTAGCAAATACTTTAAGCTTTTTTACATAAATTAATCATCTAAATTATTATATCTAGAGCAGTGTTTCTTAAACTGTATTTTAAAGAATATTTGCTTTACCAGAAGTACCCCAAGACAAAGACTACATGACCGTCTGCATTTGAGAAGTTACAAAACTATTTCATGTCTAATAATCAAGAAATGTCTTGAACTTTACCTAATCCCCATTTGACAATAGTTTTGTGGCAAACATTAACAATTGAGGAATTAAGAGTTTCAGAGATACTGTTGCCAGAGCTTCCCAATAGAGGTGAAGGTTTCCTCTGTGTGGTACAAACTTGCTTGATTCACTTCTGTCAATGGTGTCGGGATCCCAGGTGCTAATGTCAGGCACTGCTGTTCCAAATGGGTCACTAAGGAAATAAGCTCTGAATTAGGAGAGATTGGCTTCAGACGCACTTATTCTCTTTATTATTAAATAGTCCATTGGTTTTTTTTTCCTAATACAAGAGAATAGATTTTTATCTTAACTGTTAGAAAGCTTAGTATGTTCTGCGTAAGAGAGGTTTAAAAAACTTAAGAATAAATCTTAAAAAAAACCCAAAGCTCAGTAAGAAATTCTATTGTCAATTCTAATGGTAATCTTGGGGCCCTAATGCAACTCTACTTTTTAAACCCATTTTTATTGGTTTCTATTTAAATCGTATTTAAAATTAGTTTTTATTTTAGGCAAAATATAAATCAGAAATAAAAACACAATGGCCTGTCAATAAAAGCTCTCATACGGATCCGTATGGATTATCTCTAGCATAACAAAAGCCAATAAGTCACTTGCGTTTTTAGGGAAGACTGCTGAGGAGAAAGATGTAATGTCTGCAACATTCATAAACTGTCCACCAATAACCAGGAACAACCTAAAAAGGCTTCTAGACATTCTTATCGGTAGATGATTATTTGTGGTATAGATAAAGAAGAAGTTTTAAAAACTTCTAAATTCTAAAATTCAACCCCATAACTGAGGAATTTGTATAATCTATAGACCATGTATTATAAACAAATACACGCTGACTTAAAAACCTTGAAGTCTTTATCAAAATATACTACAGCCTAGGAATTGTAAACCCAAATACTTACAAGGGCAAAGGAAGGTTCCCTGAGAAAGGGAAGCATTGATGTGGGCACAGTAGCAAGTTGGAGAATATATGCCTTCTGTAAAGGGGCAGCCTCTGCACAGCAGGCCAAACAGTGATAGAAACCCAGGGGACGCCAGATTTGATTTTTTAAGACGAGCCTGAAGTCCCGATTTCTGCACACGTCTTCTAAATTTTACATGTTGACTCAATTTATAGAGGAAAACAAACAAATCTGTGCACCACATTTAGAATACAGTCCTTATGTTTTTATATTCGCTACGAATGTGTTACTAAATGGTTGTGTATAATCCAATTATTTGCATGTAAAATATTTTCCTTCTCCAGTATCATATGTTTTACAAAAAAATCAGGCCCTCATATATAATAGAAATTGCTAAAAAGACTCATAATACCCACTTCAAGAATTTTTCCAACATTTATGCACTTACAATCTATTTATACACAATTTTCCCAGATTGTTAACCAAATACATAGTTTGTACACAGGACCGCCAAAACTAAATTATTAAATAATTCCTATCTGTTTTCTTATTAACTTCGTGGATTTCATTGTTTAAAACTGACATCCTGGTTATGCTAAAGCTCTATAAACTTAACAGACATACTGAGATAGTTCATAATACACAGCTTCAACTAAAAAAGAAGTTTAGGATTTGCTTCTATTCTAATTGAGAAAACCCAACTTGTAATGAACATTTGTTGACATATAATCACCTATATGGTGACAAAGGGACATGAAATCATGAAAGGGTTAGCTTCTACTTATTGAAAGATTACCTGTAAGTAAATTTCTGAAGACTCTCTGAATGGCAGTGAATGATTAATGGTGGGAAGAAAAAGGTGTTATTCTGTTAGCCAAGATGGTCTTGATCTCCTGACCTTGTGATCCACCTGCCTTGGCCTCCCAAAGTGCTGGGATTACAGGCGTGAGTCACCATACCTGGCCAAGATGTCCATTTATTGTAAGTTGCTTTAGTTTTGTTTTTTAAGATAAAGCCTATTTCCAGGGCATATTTTCTTCCCTGTGTTGTTTTACATTAATTAGGAAATAAAAAACCCTGCATAAAAAAAATTGAAAAGATTTTATCTTTAACAAATTCACAAATATTTTCCAAAGTGCATTTTAAAAAGCCGTGCCCTTTAATGCTCCTTTAAAAGTATCAATATTTAAAATAAAATCTTAAGACAATTAAGTTATTTCAAAATAACTTAATTTGCATTTGCATTCAGGGAATGCTTGAGCTTCCAAATACAAAAAATGGACCCTTACCTACGTCAAGGTTAAAACACATATTTTGAAAAGAAAGTTGTTAATCTATACCTTGTCCAGTGCTTCAATATTTGCATCATGGGGAAGCAGTTTTTCTGCCAGTGACGTACTCTCATTACACTCAGCATAATGGAGAGCAGTGTTGCCGTAGATATCCTTAAGATTTGGATTGGCGCCATGTTCCAGCAGAGTGTTGGCACAAGTCTCTTCCTGGCAATGTACAGCCTGCCCATATTAGATCAAGAAATAGATTGCAAATTCTAAGAATTCAAAATGCAGATTCCACAGGTTATACCAACTGGTTACATGTAAATGAGATGTATTTGTTTTAATTCTATATGTGTAAATCAAACCCATGTCATGCTAAAGAGTTGGCTACTATATACCTGTATCAAAGGCGTACTGTTTTGATTGTCACAAATGTCAGTCTGGCATTTTCTGCTCAGCAGGAGAGTGACCACTTCCCCACAGGCATTAGCACAGGCCAAATGTAGAGCAGTTCTATGAGAGTAAGAGGACTTTTTAGGAAATTGGAGTGCAATATCTCAAAACACACAATAATTCACATAATTGTAAACACTGAAGAGCATGTTTTTCCTCTGCCTTGAAAACAAATACTTAATTTTTCTTGAGTAAAGTACAATACGTATTAGCTCTTATTGTTCACTGCCTTAATGAAAACAGCAGCCTATTTGAATAGAAAGAGCTCAGTCTTTGGATTCAGTTCAACTAGGGCTTGAGTCCTACGTTAAACTGTCATTTACCAGGTATTGCTTAGCCTTTCTGTGCCTCAACTTCCTCATTAACAAAGATGACAACAGTAGCCATCTCATAGGACGCCATCATGATGCTTAAATGAGAAACTGTGTAAAGTATTTAGAAAAGTCCCTACAGCAACAACTCAATAATTGTTAGATTTTTGGTTTTTTGAGACTAGGTCTCACTCTTCTGTCCCGGCTGGAGTGCAATGATGTAATCACGCCTCACTGTAGCCTGAAACTCCTGGGCTCAAGTGATCCTCCATCCCTAGCCTCTTGAGTAGCTGGGACTACAGATGTACACCAGCATGCCCAGCTTCTAATTTAAAATGTTTTGTAGAGTAAGACTCTCACTTTGTTGCCTGGGCTGGTCTCAAACTCCTAGCATCAAGCGATCCTCCCACCTCAGCCTCCCAAAGTTCTGGGATTACAGGTGTGAGCCACTGCACCCAGCCAGATATTATAATTATTATGATTACTACTACTTAACAAAAGCAATTTAATTAAGTAAAATGATACAATTATACCTATTTTGTAGGATTACTTAAAGAGTAGGTCATATTCTAACACTTATGATATTGCAATGCCACTTATCATTCACAATTTGTTACAACTATAATTGGTAGCATTTTAAAAATGATCTTACTGATATATAAAATAATCGGGCATCTCACAATCCATGAGACCTTACGTTAAGTAGAATACGGTACACTTAGCAGGTCTAGGGCAGTTCTAGGCATGTAACTGGCCCTTAAATACATTTTAGTTCTTAAAGGGACTATGGGGAAAGAGCACTGAAATAACAATCATGCATTTTTTAATTCTTTGATTTTCAAACAAACTGAAGCCAAAGGAAACTCAAGATTCAAATGAATAGGTACGGCTCATTTTATTCACTACTTATATTTACAAAATATACACAAATCAGACTTTCCAATGATTAATATTAGTATTTAAGACTGATAAACTTCTTCTACTATTTTCTAACTTCACAAATGCTTTTGTTTGAAAGGCAGGAGATAAAGTGCCAGTGAGATGAAGTCCTAATATTCCCATTTGAAATTTCTCAGCTTGTGCAGGCAGGACAGGTAAATATGAAGTTTTTAAGGATGAGAGATAGCAGAATATGTCATATATATTATATATATATATTATATATACATATATTTCCTGAGAGATAGCAGAATATGTCTGCCACGTAACAGGCACTCAGGTTATGTTCGATGAATAAATGGAATGAAAGAATGGATAAATACAGTTGGGGGGTTCAATATTTTTAAATAAACTCGAATAAAGCAATATTTTCACAACAGTAACTATTTATATTTTGTTATGTTTATTTTTAAAGAATACAAGTAAAATGAAATGATTCATCTATCATTGTTTGTATATATGAAATGAATGTGTATATAAGAAAAACATATGTACATAATAAAATACATACATAATAAAATCTGGAAACACAGATAAAAAATTCCCTTTTACTTCTGAAGAGGCTACAAGTTCAAAGATGACAACAACACACATAAATAATAATAATGATAAAAAATAGAAAGTGATATTTTTATCTGTGCAAAATTCATATTCCTCTCTTCCCAAGGATTATTCCATTAATAATCAACTTTTACTAGAAGCTTTGTATATGTTCACTGCAGCAATCAGAGTTAAGAAAAAGGAACAAAATCTTTACTTAAAACACAAATGCCCAGAAATTACACATTTTATCATACTTTGTACATATTTTCTGCTAACACAAGACCATAGTCTGTTTCTGTATATGTATAATCAAACGGATTCTTTTTTCCTCGCTGGCTATAACAAAATACATCTTCATACATCAACATACTTCTGTATCTATTGTCACCTTCAGTGGTCACATATTATTGCATCCTATGGATGCAACTGAAATTTCTTTATAGGATCCATTCTAGGGGTTCTTTTTAAAATAAGTGCTGTGAAAAACAAAGAGCATGTATCTCTATTTCCCAAGGGTATTCAGTAAAATGGAATTGAAGGGTAACGGGCATACACATTTTTTAAATATAGTACTCACCACCATGTTATGTATTTAAAAAGCAATCAGCAACTTAAACTTTAGGCAGCGTATAAAACATCCTCACACATATTGTGGATAGAGAACAGTTTCATTCCTCTTTTAAATTCTTACACCAGAAATGCAAAGGATTTTCTTCCTATGTACATAAGTAACTTATAGGTCTGCAAAGAAGTACTTTGCCCACTTTTAGAGTTTTTGATTATTTGATTTGTGAGAATTCCCTGTAAAATGAAGATGCACTTTTCAGGCCCAGTGTGGTGGCTCACACCTGTAATCCCAGCACTTCGGGAGGCCAAGGCAGGCAGATCACGAGGTCAGGAGTTCGAGACCATCCTGGCCAACATGGTGAAACCCCATCGCTACTAAAAATACAAAAATTAGCCGGGTGTGGTGGCGGCGCACCTATAATCCCAGCTATTGGGGAGGCTGAGGCAGGAGAATCACTTGGACCCAGGAGATGGAGATTGCAGTGAGCTGAGATGTTGCCACTGACTCCAGCCTGGTGCCAGAGCAAGACTCCATCTCAAAAAAAAAAAAAAAATGAAGATGCACTTTTCATCTAATGAGTATATACGTATGTATATATATATAACTTTTTATCTGTGTATATGTAATTTACATATCTGTAATATATGTTATACATACCAGTACTATGTATATGATACATACGAATGTAATTTCTGTAAAATGAAAACATACTTTTCATCTGAATATATATAATACAGTAAATATTTTTCAAGTATGTTCTCTTTTGTTAATTTTTTTTCTGATACACAGGCAGTTTTAATTTTTACTTTGCTAAATCAACCTTCAGAATGCCCGCTTGCGAGGTCATTCTTAGGAAGGCCTTTGTCAACATAAAATTTACCTGTAAAATAAGCATGTGTGTTCTCTTCTGGTACTTTTCTCATTTGCATATGTAAAAATTTCAATCTGTACTCCATCAGGAACTCATGTTTGTGACATAAACTTTCACTAGTTTTCTTCAAACGGCAGGCATTTTTTCCATTAACAATTCATTCTTTCCTATTCATGACTGTTAACATTATCAATCCTTATGTATGTCTTACAGAATTTCATTGTTTCTGCATTTCCTATTCTGTTCCATGCATTTATCTGTCTTTTCAGCTGTTAGTAAACCATTAATTGTAGAAATTAATAGCAAATTTTGTTATCTAGAGGAGGAAGTGTATTTTTCACTCCATTATAAACTTGTTTTAAATGTTGTCACAATAGTAAAAGACAGCAGGTGTCATGCAAAAATGTTAAAACCTTGATATTTTCATTTGTCTTATGTAAAACTGATAAACAGAGAAAGAGTTCACATTTTTTTTAAAAAATGTGTCTTCCCATTCAACAACACAGAACCCACCTCCCACTTCTAAGTTTCCCTCTAAGAACCTTCAGTAAGGAACCGATCTACACAGGTGGATACGGATGTAAAACGAATAGTTTTACCTGAGAACTTTTCGCTACTGAAAATGACTCACGGTACTTTTTGACAGGGGAATGAGTTCTCTCGTTAGGCACCTCCTATAATGTATATAACACCATGATTTAAACGTGTAGGTTAAAAATAAAAACACTGTATGTGCTTCGCTTTGTGAGTTAAATCACTCACATTCTCCACCAAGTGCTCCGGCCGGGGAATTATGAGGGATGCAGAGCAGCTGAGGCTCCGTTTGGCACCGCCGCTCCGAGGGCGTCCTGCGCCCTCCAAGGCCCGGTCCCAGGGGCTGCGGGGAAGCCGGGCCCGGGGACCCCCTCCCACCCTGGGCCGAGCCCCCCGCTCCCTGTGCGGCCTGTCCCAGGCTTCCAGGTCTCTGCTCCCGCGCGCCAGGCGGCGCTCCACCTCCGCGGCATCGCCCGTGACAGCGCCCTGTGGATCCTCCGCAGTTCCGCGTCCCAGATTCGGTGCCCCGAACCCGTGCAGACGTGGTCTGTGGGGCCCAGGCCCGCTGGCCCCTGCGGCTCCCGAAGCCGAAGAACTTCTTCAAGGAGGTGAGTTCTTCTCAGACCCCCAACCACCGGCTCCTGAGCCGCGGCAGCTCCCTGTCCCCTTTTCACCGCCCCCCGCCCCACACCCAGCCCCAAACCCCCAATCAACTCCCAATCCCCGACCCAACCTCTGCGATCTAGCCCAGAATCCGCGATCCAGCCCGGTCCACCCTTCAGCAGCGACACTCGCAGCCTCCGACCTCTCAGACCTACTGACCTCTCAGACCCAGTGAGCCCCGCAAAGCCGTTAGGCGCGCGCCTGCACCGCGGGGGCCACGCGGCTCCCGGAAGCCGCTCCCAGGCGGCGCCCGCCGACAGGTGGGGCTGCAGCCCGGGGCAGGCGCCGCTGGGCTCGCCGGTTCTCCTGGCGGGCCCGGGCAGCCCCGGGACCACAGGCGGAAAATCGCAGGCGCGCAGCCCGCCCTGCCTGAGGAGGGGGGCCAGTCTGGCCACGCACCTACCCTGCTCATCGTCCGCAGGGAGATCTGGGGCTGGCACGGGCACTCCGCGGCCACCGGGCTGACTTCACGGATGGCCTGGCTTCAGCGCTGAGGCTCTGGCCCTGGGGGCTGCCTGGCTGGTGTCAGGCAGCGGGAGAGGCATGGACAGTCTGGGGTTGCCCCTTCCCCCACCCGCCCCACCGCTTCCCGTGCCAGGACGGGCAGTTTGCAGCTGCACCTCTGGCACTGGCGCGGGATGGCGGAGCTTCCCTTGAATGACGTCGGGGTCGCCGAGCGCACAGCCTACCCGGTCTGAGGGTCCTCTCCTCCCGGACACCTCTCCGGATCCTGGACCCTGGCGCTGGGCAATCCACACAGTTTGGAGACTGAGCGGCTGCACATTCTGACTGGGTTTGCTGAGGTACTTCCCCTCATACATTTTTTGTCCTGGGACTGGGGGTTGTGGAAGGAAAGACTGCTTTGCGATGCTGCATAATAAATATGGTTCTAAAAGTGCAGGTGTTAGAAATATCTTCCCTAATTAACCACACTCCTATGTAAGTAAAAAGGAAATCTGCAAATTTTAGTGGAAAATTACTTCTTCTGAAACTAATCTTGATGTTGGACTTCTTTATTCATTAGTTTCTCTTTGATATTCATATCATCCCCTTAACTTACTCTTCTCTCACACCAACCTGCACCCCCCAAGGCTGTTGTAAAGAATTATCTTTAAAAAATCTTATAAGCAGCTGGAACATTTTCATTCCAGTTGATCAAAGAGATCGCTCATGGTTCTGTAACTAGAGCAGAAATATTAGAAAAAGGATAAAATCTATTGTAGTTGTACATAAAGAATATTACTTCCAATTTTATACAGAACTGTAAATTAAAAATAAATGAATGGAAAATAGTTATTTGTAAATACTTTGATCATCAACCTTTGATCTATATTCTCCTCCAAAGCATCCACACTTCAGGGTCTCACCATTTAGGTCCAAGTCTCCTCTGTGTCATTACATGTCTACCACTTTCCCTTTCCACACCCCATAGAGCCCAGACGTCAGACAAATATAAGGGTTAAAAAGAAACATCTTGGCCCGGTGCAGTGGCTCCTGGTTGTAATCCCAGCACTTTGGGAGGCCAAGGTGGGAGGAACACATTGAGCTCTGGAATTTGAGACCAGCTGGGGCAACATGGCAAGACCCCATGTCTCTATTAAAAATTAGCCAGCATGGTGGTGTGTGCCTGTAATCCCAGCTACCCAGGAGGCTGAGGCAGGAGAATTGCTTGAACCTGGGAGGTGGAGGTTGCAGTGAGCCGAGATCATGCCACTGCATTCTAGCCTGGGCGACCGAGCAAGACTGTCTCAAATAAATAAATAAAAAGAAAGTGAAGTTTACGAACTACTTGTTTTAAAAACAAAATCATTTCCAATTTATGTCCCCTTACATTTCTAAATTTTTGCAAGTGCTGTCTCTTCTATCTACAAAAAGTGTTTCCACTTCATTTCCTGCAAACGTTGATTTACATAACACTCAACTCTGACCTACAAAGAATAAGTCTGGCTTCCTATGACGTTCCAGGAGAAAGGGAAAGGCAGCTTGAAAAGCATCCTCCCATCCCGGGTCTGGTATTCCAGTGCACCCACAACTTCCCTCCCTCTTGCAGGTCCCAACACATACTGAGCTGCTCATGGCTCCATCGCTGGGCTCACATTCTTCTCATTGCTGGAATGGAATGACCTTTCTCTGCTTGCTTCACTTGGCTCGATAGCTTTTAAGGTTCTCTTTTAAATTTTACCACCAGGCCCTAAATTTCATCCACCATACATGAGGATGATCCTAGGTGGACATCAGAACCCAATTGGACATCCCGTCTCCAGGTGGATAATAGGCCCCTGGTGGATGTCCAGCTCCAGGTTGACACCAAGGCTCCAGGCAAACACCAGGCCCAAGGTGAGCATTAGGCTTCCGGTAAACACCAGGCCCATGTGGATTACTAGGCCTCCGGCAGACGTCAGGCCCCAGGTGTACCCTCGGGCCCCAGGTGAGTATCTATGCCCCAGCTGAACATCAGTCAACAGGTGGATGCCCAAGCCCTTGGTAAACACCAGACAACAAATGAACATCAGGCCCCAGAGAGACATTTGGTCCAGGTGGATACCTAGGTGGCCTGGTGAACCTCAGCCTCCTGATAAACACCCAGGCCACAGAAAGATAACAGGCCACACCTAAACACCCAGGCCTCAGGTGGGTATCAGGCCCCAGCTAAACACCAGGCCCCAAGTGGACACTGAACTCAGGTGCCAGGCTGACACCCAGGCCCAGTTGTACACCAGGTCACAGGGGAATATCAGGTCCCAAGAGGATACCCAATCCCCAAGTAGATATCAGACTGCAGGTGAACACCCATCCCCAGAAGAACACCAGGCCCCAAGTGAACACCAAGCCCGATGTGGATATCAGAACCCAGGTAGGCACCCGGCCTAGGGAGTACTCCTAGGCCCCAGGTAGACAAGGTCCCAGGTGGGCATCAGGCCCAGGTAAACCCTCAGGCCCCACGTGCACACGTGGCACCGGGTGAATAATCAGTCCCAATGTGGACACAGGATCCCAGGTGAACATCAGGCTCAAGGCTGACAGCCAGGCAGCAGGTTTATATGAGGACTCAAGTGAAAACTTCACTCCAAATGGACATCAGACCCCAGGCAAAATTCAGACCTAAGTGGATATCTAGGACAGCTAGTCCCCAGGATTTCAGGCCCTAGGGTGACACCCAGGCTCCAGGTGGACACCAGGCTCATGGAAGAAATTAAGATACAAGTTGACACCTAGGAACTCGGTAAACACGAGGGCACATGTAAATTACTAGGCCTCAGGTGAACACCCACGCCCCAGGTTGACTCCAGGCCCCAGGTGAACATCAGGTTGGGTGACATTAGGCCTCACGCAGGTACCTAGATGCTTGGTGAACATTAGGTCAGATTGAAACCAAAGCCACAGAAGGGTATCAGACCCCATGTAAATACCCAGGCCCCAGGTGGGAATCAAGACCTCCTGGTAAACACCAGGCTCCTAGTAGACATTAAGGCCCAGCACAACGCCTGGCCCCAGGTGAACAACAGGCCTAAGGTAGCTACCAGGACCCAAGTGGACGCTGAACTCAAGGTGTACATCAGGTGTACCATAGTAATCCACATGGGGCCTGGTGTTTACTGGTGTCCAGCGTCCCAGTTGGACACCAAGTCACACCGGGACACACACTCCAGGTGGACACCCAGTCTCAGGATGGAAATCAGGCCCTAGGCAAACAGAAGGCCCGAGATGAACATCAGTCCCCAGGTGGGCATCGGGCCCCAGATGATACCAGGCCCCAAGTGGACATCAGACCCAAGGTAAATACCCATCCCTAGGTAGACACCAGACCCCAGGCAGGTTATTGGTCCCAGGAAAACACCGAAGCCCCGGGGAGAAATCAGATCCTAGGTGAACTCTGGTCTGCAGGTGCACATCATGCTGGGCATCCATCTTGGACCTTGTGTTCACCGGGGGCCTATGTCCACCCCTTGGACCTGCTGTTCGTTTGTGGCTTGGTGTTCACCTGGGCCCTGAGAGTCAACCTGATGCCTGATATCCACCTAGGACCTACACAGCCACCTGGGGCCTGATGTCAACCTGCAGTGTAGGCATCCACCAGGGGCCTGATGTCCACCTGAGGTCTGGGGTACACCTGGGGCTTGGTGTCCACCTGGAGCCTTGATGTCATCCTGGGGCCTAATGGCCACCTGGAGCCTGGTATCCATCTAAAGCCTGGGTTCTGCTTGGGGCATTATTATGTCCCCTTGAAGACTCGGTATCCAACTAGGGCCTGATTTTCACCTGAGACTTAATATCTACAAGAGGCCTGGGTGTCCCCCTGAAGCTTTGGTATCCTCCGTGGGCCTGAAGTCCATCTGTGACATTCTCTCCAACTGGGGCCTGGGTGTAAACCTAGTGCCTGATGTATACCTCAAGTCCAGCGTGCACCTGGAACCCGATGGCCACCTGAGGCCATATATCTACCTGGGGCCAGAGTGTCCACTTGGGGCCTAATGTTCACCAGGAACCTAACTATCCACCTGAGGCCTCATGTCTGCCTGGGGCTCAGGTGTCAATGTGTGGCCTGGGCATCACTTGGGGCCTGATGTTCAACTGGAGCCTGGTTGTGCTCCACCTGGAACCTATTTGTCAACTGGGAACCTGATGTCCGCCTGGTGCCTGATGTCCATTTGGAAACTGGAGTCCAACTGGGAACTACCATACCCCTAAGACAGCGTCAATCTGGTGTTTGATGTCCAATGTTCACCTGGGACTGTCCACTTGAGGCTTGATGTCTGCCTGGAACCTAGGTCTCTACTTCGGTCCCGAATATTGACTGAGGCCTGGGTGTCCACTTGAGGCCTGATGTCTGCCTGGAACCTAGGTCTCCACTTCCGTCCCGGATATTGACTGAGGCCTGGATGTCCACTTGGGGCCTTATGTCTACCCAAAAAGGGCTGTGGCACCATGCACCCCTCCCTATTCCTGGGGAAAGTCTGTGGAGAGTTGCTGTACACCCAACCCTCACAGTTCAGGAACATGCCCTCCTGAAGACACGATCCAAGAAACTGACTTCTTGGCCCAGGTCACTGCTCAAGGCATGAAGCTCTGGAGGAAGCACTGGGAACAGATGCAGCTGCAATTGCCCAGGCTCCCCTCCACCAAGTTGTGCCGCAGGCCGCTGGGGGCTTCCAAATCAGGTGCTGGAATTGGGGCCCTGGAGCCTCGCCCCATCCTGCTGCCAGCGGAAAAAGGGCAGTGCCAGAGAATGTTGCCCTCACCACTGCCCCAGGCCTAGGTCAGCCTGCTGGGCTACTCCTCAAGGGCAAAGGCCACGTGGGTCATCAGCCACTGCCACCTGATAAAAGAAAGGGGGCTGAAAGAAGGCTGCCTGCTGGCAAAGCAACCACAGAGCCAGCCAGCCAGTGGCACCCAGAACTGCAAGAACTTTCTCCAAGGTAAGCTCTCAGCCTTCTTTGGTTTTGCTGTACTTTCCAAGTTGTGATTTTCTGAAAAGTGAGTAGGACATTTTCAGGGCAGCGTTAGCAATTTCTAGGCCTAATAGCAATCTAGGAGGATCCCAGTCACTCCTATCCCCGCTGACACTCAGCGGCCCACAGGTGAAAATCCAGAGATGGCTTGATTCCGTCTGACATTTCATTTCACTGTGGTTTCCAATGTTTCTTAGGAAACTGGGCCTAGGTTTGTTTGTTTCTTCTTCATACCATCCTTCTCATACTTTCTTTGTGTTCTTTCCTGGTTGCTATTTTCACTTTTCTTATACTGCATACGTAGGTCCCACGTTTCCGTTCTTTCTTCCTTTCCAGCCTGTGTGTCTTCTGTGCAATGCCTATGGTAGGTAACATCAGGCCCCAGCTGAACACTTTGACCCCGAGTGGACATGAAGCTCCAGGTGAATACCCAGCACCTACCGTGGACATCAGGCCCCATGTGGACAGCAGTCCGCAGGTAAATATAAGGCCCCAGTTTGAAACCCAGCACCCGCCTGAGCCAAGATGACGCCTTCCCACCATGTGGGCAAGAGGGGCAGTTCCCGGATGACAAGGGGCAGGGATAGAGCAACTCCCTACCCACTCTCCCCAGGACGAGGGCAGGTGCATGGGGACATATCCCCTCCAGGTGGACATAAGGCCCGAGCGGACACAAAGGCCCCAGGAAAACATCAGGCCCCAAGTGGACACTGGACTCATGGTGGACATTGGACGTAAGGCACCAGGTTAACACCAGGCCCCAGGTGGACACCAGGTCCCAGAGGGACTCCAGTTCCTGCACGGACATCAGGCTCCAGGAGGACATCAGGCTGCAGTTTGGC